ATCTTTTAGTTTTGGTGAAAAAGTAGGTTTATCATCTATCCCCTACAAACGACATTCTATGATATGATTCCCGAACCAATTTAATTTTGAAGGTTTCCAAATGAACTTTCGATATTCCACTCAAGAATCCGAATTTAATGAGCCATATTGTCAAGAAGATGAAGAGCAAGAGCAGAGCTAACGAGCAAAAATTGTTACAAGAGCAAGACAAACGTTCCGACATTATTCCATTCATTTCACAAAAAAAATTTTTTTCAAAGGTGAGAAAAATGTACGATGTAATCTTGCAATTATTGTGGAACAATCTTATAATATTTTAAAACAAGCGGGCGGCTATGGATCATTTTGGAAGCAATTTGGAAGGCAAAACATCAACAAAAATAAGGAGTTTGATCCGGTCTCAAACAACCAAATTTCGGGTACGCTTCTAACCTTTCTTTTATTTTAAATATTCTGATAAAATACAAAAGAAGAATTAGCAAAAAAATTGATTTCTAATGGAACATTTATCTTTTAGTTTTGGTGAAAAATTAAGGTTTTAATTAATTATTGTCAAAAAGCTTTAAAATCCTTGTGGCTAAAAGAGTACCGAAAGAAATACTGTAAAACGAACTATTATTCCTTTATATAAAAAGGAAAAAAAGAGTTTAGAAAACTTTATTTTCTCAAATTGAAAAATTCCGTGCGTTTCAATTTTTTGTTTGTGAATGTTTGGAGTGATGCATTGGCCAAATGCATTCTTATAATGGGTATTCCATAAGTCATTGGATTGATGATGATTGGAAAATTCAAAAAAAGACATTATTGGGTTTTCGTGTTTTGATTCGATAACTTAGGGCTGCAGAATAAATATTTATAGAGTTAATTGTTTCAATTTTAGAGTAATATAGGTTGACAAGAACAAATTTTTTCACTATTCAGTTTGGATAATGCTTCTGCCGAATACTAGATCATTATTGAAACTTAAAAAATTGTGAACCAAATATTGTGGTAATTTTTTTTCAATTATAAGATGTGCATGCCATGTTTTAATTTATGTGTACAAGATGGTTTTGAAAATTCTTTGATTCTTTTTATTCTCCAATTAAAAAAGCTATTTCAATATTTATGGACACCTCCCAAAGTTGGGCTAAATTTTGTAAAGAAAATAATAAAAGACCAAAACGTTTTCCAAGGGATGTCCCAACTCGTTGGAATTCAACATATAAATTACTAAACTAGTCTTTTTCTTATAAAGAATTATTATGTTTTTTTGTTACTAATAATATTGAGGATATTAACTTATATCCACAAAATTGGGAGATTTGTGCAAAAATTTTAGATATTTTAAAAATTTTTAATGATGCTACCTATAAATTTAGTGGGGTTTACTATCCCACATCTAATTTATTTTTACCTATGTGTATTAATATTGTTACTGCACTACAAGAATTTCAAAATGATGATTTATTAAAAGATTGTATTTTTTCATTATTACAAAATTTTGTTTTATCAATGAAAAAAATGGTTATCTTATTTTAAAAATATACCACCTCTTTTTCTTGTTGCTTGTGTATTTGATCCTAGATGTAAATTTGAAATTTTATCTAAATATTTGACTCTTTATTATGAAATATTAAATCTTGATTGCTGTAGAAATAATGTTTAATATAAATGTACTAGTGCATGAATTAAAAAATTATGCAATTATATAATGATTTGTTCAGTTTCTAGTTCCATCTACTTCTATTTCTACTTCTATTCTCAATCAATTTCCAACAATTTTAAACACACAAGGGACTAAGTGTAGTTGATGTTGGCTCAAGCAAGCTCCTTTATGCAAAGACAAAAAAGAACAAGGGGAATCCAGTTTTATTTCTGAATTTGACAATTATCTCTAACAAACCTTATCTTTTGAGTTTGGGTGATAATTATCAAATGCAAATTTTCAAATTTTAGATTGGTGGAGTCGTCACGCAATACTTTATCCCAATTCTTTTTTACTTTGCAAACAAATTTTAGCAGATGAGGCTCGGCTCCACACTTGTTGCGGTTGAAACAAGCTTTTAGTTCAAGGAGGTATCATCTTGATGAAACGTCATCGGTATGACAGGACCCGTTCATTAAAGGAAGACCAAGCTGCTGTGGTTCGGAATGAATAATGGTTACTTTCATTATTTAGCTGCAATACTTTGGTATAATGTTAGGCCATGATACGAATTCACAGAAGAAAATGAAGATTTATTTGATGGTGTGTTACCCGATGGGCATCCGGCAATGGATCCATCAGGAGCGGTTTGGTAAGCGAAATTTAGGGATTATGGTTAAATAGGGGTGAACTTGATATAAGGTAAGTACAAATAGTGGGTGTGGTTCCTTCCTAAACAGGCACCTATGGAAAGAATACGTAGCACTCTAATCTTTTTTTACAAACAAAAATGAATTAAGTTTCAGCCCATTTTTTTTTTGGTTATATTTTGTTCGGCATTCTGATTATATATATTAATAAAAATAAATTTATTAGGTCTATTATATTTTTTTAAAAATCATTATTTAACGATCACAATTCAAGTCTTTTAAAGATAAAAGTTTTAATTGAAGTTATGGTTTTTAAGTTTTTTTAGGTGTAGTTACTTATACTATTTCTTATGTTCAAATAATTTATTTTTAAACCGATCTTCAATTTACAACTTTTTTAAGTGTATTTTTTTAATTTTTATTGTTCTAATTAACTCAAGTTATTATTTTTTATAACCATAGTCAATCTTCATATTTTATAATTTTTTTACTGTATTTTAATTAATTTTATGTTCATATAAATTTTTCTTTAACCGGTATCAAAATTTTAAATTTAAAATTTATGAGATTCGCCGGAAACAATCGGAACCGTCGAACCGGACCATTTCGGTTCGGTTCCGGTTCCAGCTTTTCTGGAACCGAAACCGCCGGTTCCGGAACCGTGGCCATGTCTACTGCCACTCAATGATAATTTAATCTAGAAATTTCTAAGGAAAAGAAAAACAAATTTCACAAAATTGAAACCTGTCTCTCCTTTCAAAAAAATGTGGACAATTTTCTTCATTTTTATACTATTAAAACAAGGTTTTTATATTGCTTCCAAAAAAAGTGTTAAAATGATATATAATGCTCAATTCAATAATAATAATAATAATAATAATAATAATAATAATAATAATATGCCCCTAATTAAACTACATTTTAAATTCTTACTTAAAATCTACAAGATAATTAAATTTGAATATATAAAAATAAAAATTAAAAATCATTCTTAAATTCTATCAAATATAAAGCACAACTCAATAGTTTTAACAGAATCTTATTTGACATAAATGAATTTTATGTAATTTATTTATAAACTATATTTTTTTATATTTAGTATAAGTAAAAGTACTGTAGTTCAGGTTTTTTATTTTACTAAACTAATTATATTTGAATTAAATTTATTAAAATTATTTTCGTCTATTGATGCACCTATATAAATATAACTAGGCGGAGGCTTGCACATTACGCGGATTGCTGTATTACTTTGTTATTGTACATTGTATTAGATGTTATTTTTATTGCACATATAAAATAAATATTTATAAAAATACATAAATCCTACAACTTCGAAGAAATAAAATAAGGAAATGAAAAATTTATAAGATATATAAATATATAATATATATACTATATATAATATAATATATATATATATAATCTAATATGTATAATAAACTTAAAATAGAGTAATTTATATATATATAAACTAAAATAGAGTAAATTAAACACATCCAATATAAAACCCTAAACAATAAGCATTACTTATAAATAAAGATATATATAATTACAAATTGGAAAGACATATAAAAAAATTCATCTATGAATAAAGATATATAGATGTAAAAGTAATTGATAGAGTAAATGTCTATTTGAATTCAAAAATAATAATAATAAATAAATATAAGTTAATTTTTCTTTTTTAAAAAATGAATACAACCTGTTTAAATTTTTCTTTTTTAAATCTACCGTTTATATTTAATTGTGTTAATTTAATGGTAAATAAACACTTCTGTATGGATACAAAAAATCTCAATTCTCTACAGTAGTTTCACTATTGATGCAATTCTAAATTATTTTTATAGACAAAAAATTTTAAAATTTTTATAGATTAACTTTTATCTGTGATCCCTCAAACTTCAATTTATAATATGAAAATTATCTAACAAAGTAGTTTTACCAAACTTGTACGAGATCTTTCAAAAAAATCTCTTAAAAATTCTCTATTTACAAATATAATAGAAATGATAAAACAAGAACTTATTAGGATGGTGTAAACTGGTGGTTCGGTTTTAAAGTGAAATGTAATAAATTGAAATTAATTTTTCTTTAAAATTAAATTAAACTAAAATAAGTTTGGAAATTAAATCAAATTAGTCGATTTGATTTAGTCAGACGGTTTGAGCCCATTCAAAAAATAAATGCTTTATAATAACCGATCCAAAATCAAACATCGAAATTATAGGAAATTAAAAACCAAAATCAAAGACAAAATAACTAAACTAAAAACCATATATAATTCGATTTTTATTTTTTCCAAAGTTTCTCACTCCTAAACAACTCACATTACTTAACCATGGGTATAAAATAATTTTCACATGTCCAAAAATCATCAAATCCATGTCTTGCAAAGTAATGTCCACTCCCTCCTCCAATCAAATGCTAAAATGCAACCAATGACAACTCATATAAACATTCATGGCCTGACCCACTCTGTGGTCTGTGCTAGTGTATTCTTGTTTGTACTCCAAGAAAAAGCTTGAATTTTTATTTTTCTTTTTCTAAAACGAGAAAAAGCTTCATTGTTCACAGTATAATAATGGCCTACTGATAAATGCACCATTGCTGCTTTGGATGCTTCCCTTGCTCTCGGGTTTCGAGCCGACCCCTCCATCTTTCTGTCTTCCATGCCTTTGTAAAGCAAGCATATACACTTGCAAGTGAGTTTCTTTTTTGTTGTTTTTTTTTAGTTTGTTAATTTCTTCTCTTATACGGAGACGACGAGCCTTCCTGTTTTTGATGTTTTCGAAACCAGATCATTCTTTGGAGAAATGGTTACTCGTTGTTACTGCTCCTAGTCAAGGAAAAAAGAAAAGGAAAGGAAAAAAAAAGAAAAAGAAAGTACTGGTTTAGTAGTTCTTTTTATATTTAATATATGCAGCAGTGGGGGAAAAAAAAAAATAAAATAAAAAGGAAGAAGAACACTGGTCTCCTTCTGTATATGCCTGTCACATTGCCAGTTTCCATGTCAGTGCCAATTTGTTTTAAATATTTTATTTTGGTTTGTTTTGTTTTTGGGAAAACTTAAAAACATCTCCTTCGAGATTACTTCTTACTTAAAGCGATAAGACCCGTTTGGGTATGTGCTTTTCTTTTTTAACTGTATTGTTGTTTTTTTCTATTTGGTTTGCAGCTTCGTTTGTTTGTGAGCTATCGAGAGTTCGAAGCTGGGTACTATCTTAATGAACTTTTCTTTTATCTACGGGGCTTGTAAATCAGGAAGAACTGGAACGTCTGTGCAGTTTAAGAGTCGCAGAGACATGACTTGGGAATGAAAGCTTTGTTCTTTGCTAAATCAGCGAAGAATTTCATATCAACTTTGAAAATATCTGCTGGCAGCTTTGGGTATGTGTTTATTGGTATTATCCGAAATTGGATGCCGTTTAGACAATAGATAGTTGATTTCACTCATTTAATAACTATGGATATCAATTTAACTGGACTAATATGAATAATTAACTAAAGCAAGCATTTTTTTCTTATATATTTTATTTGGTTGTGAGACTTTGAAACTTTCCAGTGTTCTTTCTTGACGTTTTCTATTTTTTTTCCCTTTAAAGTTTCTGAAGTCAGTAAAAACAATGCAACCAATTGCAACCACTATGAGAACCTCAAATTCTTTTAACTGTGCAGTTTTAGGATTGTTTTCTTCTGTATATGTATAGTCAACTGAGACGGTTATGCATCAAGAAAGAAGTTGCTTAGATTCACTCTTTGTTAATATTATGCTAATCTTTCTGGTATAGAAGTACAAGGAATTGTGACTGCATCTGGGGTTTTCTCATTCTATTATGCCCTCAAGTTGAACTAAGAGCATAATTCTTTTGACTGCACTGAAGAAATGGGTTGTGTAGCATCGAAGATTCATAAGGAAGAGAGGGTGCAGATTTGCAAGGAGAGAAAGAGGCTAATGAAACAATTGGTAGTGTTTCGAGGAGAATTTGCAGATGCTCAATTGGCTTATTTGAGAGCGCTGAAGAATACTGGTGTAACCCTTAGGCAATTCACTGAATCAGAGTCATTAGAGCTTGAAAATACCTCTTATATCCAAGCATTACCGCCTTCCCCTCCTCTTCCTTTACCTCCTTCGCCTCCACCACCGCCTACTTTTAGCCCTGATTCAAGAAAGTCCACCAATAATCAGAAAGTAGACATTGCTCAAGAAGAAAGCATAAAAATAGATGAGTATGATTCTTCTCAAATCTTCAGTTACAATGACTGGGATACTTATTATCCACAACATCCGGGGAAGAACAAAATGGTGGAATCAGTAGGAGAGGAGGAAGCTTGGGCAGAGACTAAGACAGAATTTGAGGAAGAAGATCGGGAAGAGGAGAATGTTGGGATTGCGGTTTCTAATTCACTTTCTCAGGTACAGAAGCCTTTAAAATTGATTGATGATGACTTATCAATGGTGAGCTCTTGTACTAAAGATACTGCACATATGGCCATGGTGCAGTGGAGAAGCAAGAAGACCTTGGAAGGTATTGTTAAGGAGTTAGATGATTATTTCCTTAAAGCATCAGCAGGTGGAAAGGAAATTGCTGTTCTCATGAACATTTCAAGAGGGGATTCTTATCTACCTCAGAATTCCAAAGAAAATAAAAGTAAATACTGCTTCTTTTAGTAATTTAATATTCATTTGATAATTGTTACATACATCCATAAAAGTAAGTGAAGTTTTCAGCAGAGAAGTTTCATTGCTTAATCCTTTAGATTGCTTGTCTTTGAACATGATGATATTATTTTTAGCTCTATCAATGGTTTTGTTGTTATATGTTTTCTCTGTTCAGAAAAGTGTAGTTAGACTTGTGTCTCTTGTAGAAGTTTCATTTGGCTGCCATTATATTGCACAAACAGTTAGGCTTTGGTGTAGGTTTCGCCAATCCATATTGCTAGTTAGATTATGGTGGATCCTTTGTGGTATTTAAAATTATTTAAGCAGTCATATCATTGTAATTAAGATACTAAGTGGTATTAGCTATCACCTAAATATATTTGAGTACTTTGTTTTAGATATTTATCTGAATGAACTTTAAATATGTGGTCATGATTTATGTAGTTATTAACTTAGAGCATTGATTTGGTTTACTGACATCATGATGCTTTCATTAGGTAAATCTTATTTTATTTCCAATCCACATGGTAGCCGCTTAACTCTAATAATACTTGATAATGGATGACTTTTTAAAAAATAATTCTAATAATCAATATTCATGACTCATTTCTATTTAGCGCAGTTGTTGATCATGGTTCCCATTAATATTGAAAATTCTACTTAGAGCTTATATTGCATACTGATTTTTTACACCCTTGGTTTTACTTGTTGATCATGGTTCCCGTTAATATTGAAAATTCTACTTAGAGCTTATGTTGCATGCTGATTTTTTACACCCTTGGTTTTACTTGAAGGCTGTACATAAGCTTACTTCACTATTACAGTCTTATAGATTCAACATGTTACCCTAAAAATTTCATCCTAACCATATGACTTCTCTCTAAAGTCCTTGAAGTTTTTAGATTCTTTTATGGCTACATGCATAAATTCACACCTGAACTTTGATGCTTTGACCTTGTGGCATCCTCAACTTTCACTTTGGCTTATCAAACACTTCAAGTTATAAAATTACACATATTTAATACTTCAACTTATAAAATCATTTTATAGAGTATTTCAACTTGCAAAATTAGAATAATTAAACACTTATTAAATATTTGAAAAATGTGAATAATGATTGTTCTAAAAGTTATACTTACTATATATCAAATCAATATTTTGCATATAAAAACAAGAATCACTAAAAAATATTGTTATTAGTGTGGAAAGATATGTCATATTACCAAAATTTGCAAATGCAAGATATGTTATCTATAAAGTTTAGGATCCATAGGATTAAACTTGCAAAGTTTAGGGGTAAATTTATATATTGAGCTATTCTTTTATTTGTGGCTATTGCTTTCCTACACATTTGATCACAAAATGCTGGCAGATGAATTAATTGTGAAGCTGTTGATCACATTCATGCATATATCGATTTTTAAGATGTACATTCTCATAAGCAAGTAAAATTAATGCAACTTGTGCATGGAGTCACCTCATCAATATGAGATAAAGGAGTCGGAGTATTATGTTTATAAGCCAGGTAGGGTTGATGGAACGTGCTTTTCTTAATCTCATTTCATCTCATAAATGAAGTAGCATTGAAGTAAGTCATCGACATCACTGAACACTTGAATCTGTTCCTCTGTGGCTCACACATGCATACATGCATGCTTGCTGCTTGCTTTTTGGCGAACAAAGTATAACTGATAGGCACATAGTGATAACTTTTTCTATTGTTCCTTTTTATGTAATCTAAGAATTTTGTTTTGGTGGTATTTTGGCCCTTAATATGCTGCAAGTGGTTTCCTCCATATATATTGTATATGTGGCCAACACATAGGCATAAATGGCCCTAATGATATATTTTCTTCTAGGGTGTAAAATCACTTTATCTTATTGTCACTGGCTGCTTTAGCTATTTAATTTTTTTTGGAAGCTGTAGTAACTTTTTGTTTGCAGGGAAGCGTAGTAATTCTGCAAAGGTTTTCAGTGCTCTGGCATGGAATTGGTCTTCTAAGTCTCTTCAGTATCCAAAAGATGCTACTGAAGTTTATAATCCCAGTGAACCATGCAAGCCTGGAGCCCATTGCGTCACACTTGACAAACTATATACAGCAGAACAGAAACTTTACAAGGAAGTGAAAGTAAGAATGACAGTTGGCTTATAGATGGGAATATGTACATTCTTTGAATGGTTGTATTGTTGGATGGATTTAATCTTCTCTCTCTCTCTACACACACACACACATACATGCACAATATTACATAATATTCATCATAAGGTAATGATTTTGTTTGAGAGGTTATTGTCTATATTACAAGACAGATTCTTTCACGTTGTTTATTTAGTTTTATAAGGTCAGGTAAAGCATGGAGAAGTAAAGTGCATCATTCCAGCTATTATAGCTATTTTAAATGGCCATTTCTTTCATAATCTCATATATGCCAAATATAGCTGATAAATGATGTCTTATACCTCTTAGACTCAAGTATATTAGTATTAGAATTTTACTAAGATATTTGTCAGAACTGAAAATGGTGCTTGTGACTGATCAGCCTCGTGGTCCAAGTTGAAATATCTTCCATATAATGCATTTTTTAGACATCATAGAATAATTAAAACGTGAAACAATTCAAATAGGTACTTTAAGTTACTTGTTAGTATTTGTGCTAGTTTAATATTGCAGGTTCATGAATGAAATATTTATATGTTGGCAACAGAATAAGGTTTCTTTTCATGGTGGCAATGTTTCAACATTTTTAGTCATCAATTATGATGACTTACAATGCAATTATAATTCTTTTAATTTGTTGGAATTTCTATTGGATATATCTTTGTTTTCTTTGGTTAGTAATCAATTCATCATACTATGCAGGAAGAAGAAATTACCAAAATAGAGCTTGAGAAAAAGACAATGTTGTTGCTGAAACAAGAAGAAGAAAACCATGACTGGACCAAGACTGATAAAACCCGATCGATTGTTGAGGGTTTGGAGGCTGATGTCAGAAGGCTTCAGCATTCAATAAGTAATACTTGTTCGTCTATATTGCAACTTATTGATGTGGAGCTGTACCCTCAACTTGTCACATTAACTTCTGGGTAATAAATCACTATAGACACCTATGATATGCTCTTTTTTTTTTTTTTAATTTTTTTATTTTTGGCATATCACTAGTGTAGAATAAGATAGATGAAATTTCTTTTCTTCTAAGAGTTCTTCACTTACTGTTTATCATCTCTCTGAGGTCATTAAAAATTGATATTCTACAATTGTATATTTTTTCTTTGTTAAAAGTCATTCTTTTTGGTTAAATGGTTGGGTGATATTAATAAGACAGCTCTCCCCATTTAGGGTGATAACGGGATTTGATTTGGTTCTCTAGTGACAATGTTAAATGAATAATATTGTTTTAAGAAATAGTTTAAATTTCTCCATTTCTAGCTCCTTTTGACCGTTTTATAACCTCATTATTACTTACCCGCGCCCCTTTAAATGCCATTAACCTTCTGTTAGGCTATTTTAGAAATGCCTTGGATTCAGGACTGCACAATTCAGAAAGAAAATTATTCTTCCATAATTTTTTGCTTCTTTTCTATCAACTGTCTAATTCCAATCCTAAGTAGTTAAGTGAAATTTTAGGCAGGCCTGATTGTCCTAATGCTTTTCATCATTGCTTCATTTCTTTCATAGGTTGAAAAATATGTGGAGAACTATGTATGAGTGCCACCAGGTTCAGAATCATATCTCTCAGCAGCTGAACCATCTCACTGATAATCAAGATACAGAAATGACTACTGACGCTCATCGCCATGCCACAGTTCAGCTAGAAACTGAGGTCAATTCCTGGTACATCAGCTTCTGCAAACTTGTAAAATCCCAACAGGAGTATGTGACAACTCTCTGTAGGTGGATCCAGCTAACTGACTGCCTTGTAAATGACAATCAGCATAGTAGTTACTCATCTGCAGTTTGTAGTCTGTGTGAGGAGTGGCAGCTTGCCTTTGATAGATTGCCTGATAAGGTATAGCCATGAACTCTTTTTACAGTAGATTACATTTATACTTCGGCAAAGATCTACCTGAAATAGTTTATTTGCCGTAATATTTTCATTACTATTACTATTGTTTTTGACATGTGAATTCTTTTTACAGATAGCATCAGAGGCCATCAAAAGCCTTTTGTCTGCCATCCATGCAATAATGCTGCAGCAGGAAGAGGAACACAACCTTCATAAAAAATCTGACAAACTTGAGAAAAGATTGGAGAAAGAATTGTTCTCCCTTGCTGAAATGGAGAAAAAGGTTGATTGGAGCTTTGCAGCTGGAGACACGCGATCCGATTTAAGCCCTAAACATCCCTTGTCAATTAAGCGTGCCAAAACTGAAGCCTTGAAGATACGGGTGGATACTGAGAAGACCAAGTATTTGAACTCAATCAAGTTTACAAGAGTTATGACACTAAACAATCTTAAAACAGGCCTCCCTAATATGTTTCAAGCATTAATGGGGTTTTCCAGTGCTTCTGCACAGGCCTTTGAGGCTGTTCATAGCTGCAGCGGAACTGCAGTTGATTGTGATGCATCAGAAAGCTCAATGAGCTAAATTGTTAAAAGAATGAGATGAAGTGAGAACTAGTTGCACTTTGTAGAGCCATTTGGTCAAATATATAGGCCCTAGTGCAAGTTCTTTGTGAAATCCAAAGATGGAGATCAAGTTGTAATAAAATTTAAATTTTGTTTATAGTGACAAATTATTGTGTTTTCAAAATTATACTTGACAGAGTGGAGTTCTTGTGATGTTTCTTGTGTATTAGAAGTGCAACACCTTCAATCATATTCAAGTGTATTTTTTCTTTGCACTAATCTTGATTAGAGAACTCTCTTTCCATTGATTTTCCAAGGTTAAAATTAGGACGACGTCGTCGTCATCGTCATCATCATCATTTTTTCTGTCTGAAGAAAAATTGTGAAATTACCATTTTAAAACATAATTAAGATAGTAGAGTTCTTATATCATAGGAAGACTAGTTATTAGTTTGAAACTAACAAATGAAAGTATAATTAATGTTTAAGGGCTTACGATATTGTTTCACCAACGACTTTGTTTTTTGTTGCAATTTCATTCTAATTTAATATTTATGTTTATTTCACTCTGAATTTTAGCCTTTTATTGTAATTTCACTACAGTTTGATCTTTATATCAATTTCACTATGAATTATAATTAGAACTTAAATTGTAAATAAAAAATAGATTCACTCTTAATCTTGGGCTTGATTAACTTAATATATTCGTGTGAGTGAGAGAGTTTGGATTAATAGTAAGAAAAATTTCTATTATTATATTTTAAAATTATTTATTTAATTGATAATAAGTAATATTAAAAAATTAATTGTTTCATGCATGAATACTTTTTTTTTTAAAAAAATTAGAATATAATTATTATTATGGTTTGATTTTAATATAAAATTTGAAATAATTATAAAATCTAAATATAAAATTAAAATTTGAAATAATTATAAAATCTAAAAACTCTGAGAATTTATTTCTCATAAACAATTACAAATCATAATATTTTTTTGTCAACATAGAATATAAGATATAATTATAATCAATTACAATTTATAATCGTAGAATGAAAAAAATAGATATATTTAAGATAACAATTAAACTTAATAAATTTGTGTGAGTAAGTAAACTTGGATTAAGTTAACTCAGAGTCAATATTAAGTTTCATATTAATGTATTTTTTTTTACTGTAAGTCTTATTGCAATTCAGGATGCTATTGCAGTAAAAATCAAAGTTAGAGTAAAATTGATATAAAGATCACAATAGAGTGAAATTGTAACACAGTATAAAGTTTAGGGTGAAACAATACATTAACCCAATGTTTAAGTATCACTAATGTATTGTTCTAGCAGAAGTAAATTAACTGTTAAACTAATATCAAACCACAAAAACCCAAAAAAAAAAAAAAAAAAAAAAAAAAAAATCATTAAATCCATTTAATATTACAAGTTAATTATCGCATATTTATACTTTAAATTTATTACTTCAGTTCCATTAGAGGTAGTTATTTATTATTAAATTATATAAAAATATTCAAATTTATTTTCAAAAATTAAACTAAAAATATTTTAGAATAAGAAGTACTGGACTTTAGTGTATAATTTTAAGTATTTTAAAGGAGGATGATTCGAAATCTGAATCATCGTCAAGGTCATATATGCACTTATCACTGAATCATTATCCTCCTGTGCATGTGCGCAAAAAAAAAAAAAAAAAAAAATCATTAATCCATTAATATTACAAGTTAATTATCGCATATCATACTAAATTTATTACTTCAGTTCCATTAGAGGTAAGTTATTTATATTAAATTATATAAAATATCAAATTTATTTTCAAAAATAAACATAAAAATATTTTAGAATAGAAGTACTGGACTTTAGTGTATAATTTTAAGTATTAAAGGAGGATGATTCGAATCTGAATCTATCGTCAGGTCATATATGCACTTATCACTGAATCATATCCTCCTGTGCTGTGCGCAGTTCAAATTTACTTCAATAGGATAAAAATCATAAAATTGATTGGCTTCCAAACTTTCTCATAAACCGCCGTTCAATTTGGTTGAGATTCCGGTTCCATTCCTCATTATTCAACCGATTATGGTATTACTTAAAAGATGGAATGCAAAACAACATAAAAATTATGCTCGATGCACAATTTAATTCCTGAACTTTTATAAAAAAAAAAAAATATATAGCATCCTAAATTATAATATGGTTCTTATGACACCTTAAATTTCACTTTTTAAAATAATTTCACACCTTCTTATACTAAAAATAATAATTTTTAAATTTTTTTTACCTAACATGTAGAATATTAGTTTAATTCATAGATAATACAACTTTTGAAATAATAATTTTTATATTTTTTAACCATCTAATAAGTGTTTAATCAATATAATTTTATAAGTTAAGGTGTTCAATAAGTCAAACAAAATGTTTAATATGTCAAATTTATAAATTGAAGTGTTCAATAGATAAATGGAAAAGTTGAGGATGCCATAAGATTTTTCCATGAAAAATAGAGAAGTGAATTTATATATTGAGCTAAAGTGAAGTTATATATTGAGCTAAAAATTATTAGAAAAGCACAATAAAAAATCCCTAAATTGAAATGAGAAAAAATTATATAATTTTAACAATTTTGTAGGAACATGAATAATGCAAAATTAAATTAATAATGTTGAATTTTTAAATCATAGTAGGGTAATATTACAGACTTGAATAACATTAGTCTATAAATATATATTTTTTAATCTTAATCATAGTATAACATGAATAAACTGCATTTATTAATTTACATTAGCCATCAGAATGATTTTTTTTTTTTTGTTCATTCATTTCCTAATAATAATAGATCTTTACCATATACAAATGATTACACTTGCAAAGCAAAATCCAAAATTGCAAAGCAGAGCTCCTCTGCTTTTTCAAGCAATTTTCATTATATATATTTCAACCATATATATATACCTTTTACAACATTTAAATCTCAGTGCTTCCAATATTGTCCCAGTTAAGTGATTCATTTTCATTGTCATATTCTAACTGTTGCAGCCTATTGTAAGCAAAACTGCTCATTGTACCAAGACCTGAAACAAGAAACCATATTGGGATCAAAAAGAGTTGGTAAGAGAAATAACTTGCAGGGTTCATTTGTTTCATGGGAAATAACTTGTTCTAAGAAAATAGTTTGCAGGAAAACATTTTATGAGAATATGACTTATTTTCTGTTGTTTGATTGTAACGTTGAAATTTGGTTGGAAATTATTTTCTGCAGTTTGGAGCGTATTAGAAAATATTAGATCTTTCAATTTTTAAAGCTATAAAAATGTTCAACTTTTAAGAATTTCATTTTTTAATTGTTGAATGTGAGAAAATGTAAATTGTGATAGTTGTTCGACACTCGAACAGGAAAGCATGGATAAAAATATGTGTGATTTTGCATCTATCTGCAATGATTGAATATTATGTTTACCTTCAACAATTCTGTAGAGCGAGAACCACCATCGATCTTGGGGAAGTTCGTGTTCTTCTAGTGTCATGTTTATTTCTGCATTATGTTTTCCCTCCAGGACATCCTGCAATGTTGTTACTGCATCTTTTGTTCTGTTGACTATATTGTCCTTGTCTTCGATAACTATCCTTTGAAGATCATTATAGGAAGAAGTGAGGCTAATGGCAAGGGCAAATTGGGCAGCAGCAGACCATCTTGAAGAGGCCATCCATCTCTTCTGGCCATCTTGACTTTTGGTTTCTTCTCTACTGAATTTGTTTTCTTTTCCCTCAAATACTAAGCTGCGCAAGTATTGAGCATTTGCAGATCCTGTACTTTGAACCATTTTAGAGAATGCACTTCCTTCAATTGATAGCAGTTCCTCTGGAGTTGCATGCTCTAAAACCTGAAAGGAAATGTATAAAATTGTAATACTAATCTTGGAATTGTAACAATTTTTGAATTTAGAAGTTAAAATGAGCAGGGGAAGAGTTGTTAATGATTTCTGCTCTTGCTATTTGAATACTGAAGTATAGAATAATCAATGTTCAAGTATCCTGGTTATAGAAAGCACAAAACACAAACATTTCCACGACAAACAAATGATTTGAGGCATTACCAGACCGGCATCGAGCACGAGAATTCTGTCACAGTCAATGATAGTATTTAGTCTGTGAGCAATAACAAGCATTGTGCAAGATTTAAATTCCTCTCGAATGGTTTTTTGAATAAGAGCATCAGTTCTGACATCAACAGCAGCAGTTGCTTCATCAAGAACAAGAATCTTTGATCTTCGTAGCAATGCTCGCGCAAGACTTAGTAATTGTCTCTGTCCAACACTGAAATTCTCCCCTCCCTCAGAAACCTTTATACAAAAATCACGCATTAGTTGATGCTCGTAGTATTTCTTTCTTTTCAAACAATGGATATGCAACTTGTTTTCCATTATGAAGAACCCAAAACAGATCAATATACAAGGGCTCGTACAACTAATATTTGACTTAGTGGTAATTGGAGCTCTCATTGAGCCTATTTAACAAACAATATATTATACACACGAGTGGACACACAAAAGACTTGTACTTGTCCACTGTGTAAATTTCCCCCCTACTTACGATACAGATTTGATGTTTGTTTACGGAATGCATTTATAGCACTCTTCCGGTATGAATTGCTTGAGCCACAAGTGAATTGGTCAAGGAATTTTGACTTGAATAAGATAGCTACACAACAAGTAATTGAGTTTTATACCTCAGCATCTAGACCAAAAGTATTCTTCCTGATGACTTCTTTTAGATGTGCCCTCTCTAGAGCCTCCCAAAGGTCTGCATCGTTGTGTTCGCTAAATGGATCCAGATTAAACCGCACAGTACCTAGAAAACCAACAGTTATAAATCATTGGTATCTTTATAATTAAACTGAAAACAAGAAGCATGGAAGATTTCCGTCGCAGTGAACTGAAGAAAGTGCTATTGCAAATGCACAGACATCTTAAGTGGAGACAGTAAATTAAGAACTGAAGTTACAAATTGCTTGTTGACTTAAATGTCTCAACATCAAAAATATAAACATGGTCATTCTAATTATAAGAATAGAACAAAGTAAAATAGAAAATTTTTAGGGACAATGATTTCAGCTCAGTTGAAATTTCTGGATTAATTGCCGACATACCTGGCAAGTTTTCAGGTGGAAAACAATTGTGAAATAGAAAATAAAGTATAAATTCACAGCAAATTATAATGGCAATATAGAATTGAAACAATATGTGGTAAGAAGTTAAATCAAAAGAATCTAGCTTCTACTCTTGAAAATGAGTACCTGAGAAAAGAACAGGTGATTGTGGTATGATACTAAGAGCTTTTCTCAAATCTGTCAGTCCAAACTTAGAAACATCACAGCCATCAATGATGACTTCTCCTCTTTCAAGTTCTACAATACGAAACAATGCATTAAGCATGCTAGATTTCCCTGCTCCGGTTCGCCCAACTATTCCCACCTTCTCACTTGGTGAAACTGAGAAGGACAATCCATGCAAGACTGGAGGAAGTTCTAGTCTATAACGCAAGACAACATCCCTGAACTCTATTGATCCTGAAGAAGGCCATGCCGGTGGAGGACGATTGCTCTCAATTATGGTTGGAGCTTCAGAAGGCAAATCTATATACGTTCCAGCACGCTCAACGGAATTAAAACTATTTTCTGCTCTACTTGCTTGTCTAAGAACATTACTCAATAGATTAGTAATATTTAGCGTATAACTGAGAAGTAGACCCATTGTAGATGCAAATGCCACCTGGTTTTCAGATCTGCTATTCTGCAATACTGCGACGGATGCAGTCAACCAAATCATGATTCCTCCTAATGATTCCAATCTTATGGTGAGCCAACGATTTGAACTAATATTCACAAGGGTGAATCTGATGTTGTTGTCCATTGACTTCCCACTGATATTGGCCATTCGATCATAAGCTTTGTATGCACGAATGCTTGATAGACCATTTAATGCTTCTCCAAACTGTGCATAAACTGGAGATCTGGTGATGGAATCCAGACGTTTTACTTCACGGGATGTATTCTGTGCAAACACATATGACCATAATGATTAAATATTGTATATAAGCAAAGTCTTTGTGGCAAGTTGAGATAACTGGCATAAAAACATTATAAATAATTGTGTTAATGGAAATATATGCTTGCAGAAATTGATTGCATATTAAAAATCACATTCTTCTAAATTTTTTGATATTCATAGCCTCCTTTATTTAAGAGCTGAGTCAGCTAACCATTTCTGCATAGTGGTAAAGAATAAACACAAAGGATTCACTAGATGGGATAACTTATGACTTGTGAGGAAAAAGAAGATCAAATGATGCATACACTAAAAGTGACTACCTGGTAGTATAAATAGGCCACATAAAAAAGGATGAGAAGTGGCATTATGGCCCATAGGGATATCGTGCTAACTATGCCAATCAGTACAAATGTTGAAAGAAGCTGCCAAACTTGGTTCAGAAACATATTAGAAAAACTGGCAACATTGCGGTCTATTTCACCTAGATCCTTTGCAAACCTATTGATGATCCTTCCTGTTGGATTAGTGTGGAAGAATAGCATTGGAGCTCGTAGGATTGAATCCAGCATGGCATCATGCAATCTTTTGGCTGCACGAAGACTTGAACTGATCAACCAATAAGAGTTTGCCAGAGTCACTGTTACCTGAACCAGAAATATGAAGCAACGGAATCTTAAGCAATTGCAAAAATTTTCATTTTATTTCCTCCCTGTTATTTTTTCTTTTATTTTTCTTTCCTTCTACATCTATTATTTCATTTTCTATCGAAATTGTAAAAAGAAGAAGAAATGGAATTAACTATATTTCTTGCAAAAATCTCACAAAAAGACATGCCGGTCTAAAATACAAGGTTCACACAATAATTTTCATGATTATATCACATATTATTTTTTCATAATATAATAACATATGGTACCATGGTTCTTCTAAAATCATAGGGAAAAAGAATATTTCAAATTCTGTTGAAAATCTGATGAACAAGGTTGACAAGTTGGCAGTAGCCACAAGAGCAAATGGAGATGCCGAAATCAACAAACAGCAGACATACCTGGCCAAGTGATAGAAGTGCATAAATTAAAATGTAGTAACCAGGCCTATAGCCTTCTGAAGTGCTTTGATCCGTCCAAAAGCTTAACCATGTACTACTTGAAACTCGAAGCACTTCTGTCGATGAATAGAATGCAAACAGTACCATAACCACCATAGTGCCTCCCAATGCATTCTTATACCTGTAAATATATACAACATAAGCATGTAAGTATGCATTCTTATATCTGTAATATGTACAACATAGGCATGTAAGTATGCAAGATGCCTGAACAAGTAGGGCATAATGTTCAAAATACGACATGAAATAACTCAGCATTCATGAACGATGATGAGATATTTATCCATAGAAAAAGTAAGCATGAGACTCTTCTAGCTAGTGCGGAGAAGGAGAGTGGTAGAGGGATAAGAAAAGGAAAAAAAAAAAAAAAAGTTTGATGAGATATTTAATCCATAGAAAAAGGTAAGCATGAGACTTCTTTCTAGCTAGTGCGGAGAAGGGAGAGTGGTAGAGGATAAGAAAAGGAAAAAAAAAAAAAAAAAAAGAAAAAAATGGATAAGAAAAGAAAAAAGGAAAAAAAAAAAAAAAAGAAAAAATGGATAAGAAAAGAACTTCAAAATTTGTATACTTGTTAAAGAACAATTTGTTTGACCAACAACAGATCCACAAAAAGCCATTGATGTTTTGACACCAGCCACTTCGTGATAAATAATTTGTATGAAAAAAATAATAAGACATCATGTTTTAATATTATTTTCATATATGACTGATCAAGAGTAAAAGACTGATAAACATGGACTCGTTTATAGAAAACCAAGCTCTTACAAAAGTTGAATCAAAATTGTTTATAGAAAAAATAAGCTCGATACTGCTTTTCTCCATTTCAGAAGATTAGTTGCCTTCTGGGGTATAATTCTGTTCTTTCAACTACAAGTTGCATCAATGGTCATTATTACTAAATCAAAAGAAGTCTTCACTTGAGAATCTGAATTCTCTGTTAAGGTGATACATATAGATGCCAAATAAGTTTCTGAGATCAGTTAAAAATAAAAGTCTTCCATCAATTCTAACATAAAAGAATTACAGAAACAATTGTGGTTGCCTAGGTGCACCTGGAGGTTATTCTAGGTATAGGTCTTATGCTTGGTGTCCTTTTGAGCACGGAAAAAAAAGTAGACATTAATTGAAATATAAAAGTACAGTCTTATCTTAAAGATTATGAGCCTGAAAATGTTGTATATTACCTCATCATAACATTCCAACTTACAACACCTGTTTCCCTTTCCTCTTGCTTGATAAGCACAGACTTCCTTCCTTTCCCTTTCTTTGTATACCCTGCATTATGTGGCAACTCATTTATCTCATCACCTGCTGGTTTTGAATTTTTACGGTCACGATTTTCAGTATTCTCTTTTTCTTCTGCTTGTTCTTCCACTTCTTCCATTTTCCCAGCATTTTCCATCAGTTTCTGGAACAATTTGCCACTCTTAGAGAGCTCCTCAAAGGTTCCTTCCTCTTTAATTGTACCCTCACTAACCAGAATAATCCTATCCACCTGTGGAAGAAAATGTAGCTGGTTTGTAACAAGAACTCTAGTTTTTCCTTGCAATGCTTCCTTGATACAGCTGTTAAAAACCTGGAAATGACTTGGGATTAGTTCAGTGCTAAGCTTCCAGAAACATTTGCTTGTTAAAGCTTCAAGATGTTGGGCCAGTCATAGCCATAGTCTTGAAAATTATCAGAATAAGTGAAGAAAATCAGTAAAGAAAATTCTTCTATTTGTTTGGGTGGCCTTCTAGCAGAAAACATTAAAAACGTTTCTCTTATACTGCAAAAGGGAGGTTGACCTTATTAAATCAGTATGCTCGTCATACTGAATTATGTCAAGATCACTACAGAATGTAGTACTAACAATATTTCTGATCAAGATAAACTTGAAGGGAGCTCGTATTAATCAGAATGAACTAATACCTGCCGACCAACATGAGCATCTAGAGCACTTAGAGGGTCATCAAATATGTACACATCTGAATTGGAGTAGACAGCCCTAGCCAAGGAAACTCTTTGCTTTTGCCCACCACTGATGTTCACACCCCTTTCACCTATCTCCGTAAGATCACGGCCCTGAGAAAATAATTATGAGATGATAATCTAAGATATATTCCAAATTTGAACCAAATAGCAAAATCAATAGCAGTAACCCTAGTTCCTGAATCCACTTAACTGGAAGTAAGTCAAGATCATGCTGTAATGCTGTTACATCAATAGCTTGCCAATATCTTGTGGATTCATATTTGGACCCAAATAATATGTTGTCACGCACCTGATACAATGAATATTCTATATCAGAAGCAGACATATATAATTGAGAATCACTAGAATAGTAGTACAGAGCAATAGATAACTAGATCAAAGTTGATAAGCAGAAAAACTAGGCTGACACTCACAGTCGCATTGAAGATCCATGATACTTGAGGAACATAAGCAACGGTCCCTCTAATACCAACATTGGTGTCAGCTGCAGGAGGCAGCTCTCCAAGCATTGCTGAGATCAGTGATGTCTTTCCTTCTCCAGTCCCACCAACAATTGCAACTAAGCTGCCAACTGGTATGTCCAAATTGATATTGGACAATGTAGGCTTCTCAGCCTGGAAAAAGCATGAGTTCAAAGATTGCTATCACATATGGGGAACAAATATATTTGATTATCGATATCAATAAGTGCATAACTTGATAAGACCTAATGAAACTTCTAAAAAACTCATCGATATTTATATCTAAGAATTCTTGTTTAGGCAGTTCATAGCATCCATACATGTTTTCATCCAAGATTTCAATTCTTTCATGTTTTAGCAGTAACATATTGTTTGATGTCCAAAATATATAAGAAACAGATGTTTCCACGACTCTACCACCCAGTCAATTATGTTCCACTTAATCTCTATTACCTCAAATATCAATTTTTTGATATGCATTATAGCCAATTTACCATAGCTCAAAATAATTGTGTAGCCTCTTCACTCATGTTGTAAAATATTGCTTGCAACATGAATATGAGATGTAGTCATGCATTTTAGTAATGGGTCATGATGAAGGTGTAGAAACTAGCATGTTTAGTTAGGGTAATATAGGTTTGGCTACTATGTCTAGAGGAAATATCCTATGCCACTTAATATATATAGGAGTAACTGTTAGCTCACATGTGGACAAGGTTTACTTCGAGCACACTTGACCACCCAAGTGAGGTGGTATAAGATATCTCACTTAAAAAACTTGATTCATTTTCAACTTCTCTCCTCTTTGCTTGTGTTTACTAGGTTGTTTTAGCTGCAAGAAAAATGGTTCTTTATGGCAGCTTGGTGATTAAAGCACTCAGTATGAGGAGAGGGCTCTAGAAGTTAACCTTTGAATCCCATGAAAAGAATCCATCCTTGATTGAGATGGCTGGAAGTTCTGGCTCAAGAGGTGGATTTGGTACTAGAATTCTCTCTTCAGCTAAAAGAAGTTCTTCCAGGCGTTGTAATGACACGTTTGCAGTTACAACCTGCCAAACCAGTTCAGTGTTATTGTGAAATCACAAACCAATTTGAGTAAATCCAGTGTCCTTACAAAGAACTTGGGACTACATGGAACGTAATTCTTTTTAAGTACATTACAAGATGACAGATTCAGATACAAAAAAAAAAAAAAAAATTTTTAATAACATTACAAGATGACAGATTTCAGATACAAAAAAAAAAAAAAAGCATGTGTAAATTATACTTCTTTTCAAAACTTACAACAATCTAAGAAAATTTATGCAGTTTTATTCTGCACAAAGAATAATTTAAATTGCTTCTTGTCATCTTTCAGTCCATTGTTAAAAGAAAAAAAAAAAAAAAAAAAGCATGTGTAAATATACTTCTTTCAAACTACAACAATCTAAGAAAATTATGCAGTTATTCTTGCACAAAAGAATAATTTAATTGCTTCTTGTCATCTTCAGTCCATTGTAAAAGAGACAAATAATTTTATTAAGTGAAATAATATTCATATGAATCCAGAAAAACTTCTAAGCATGTTGTTTCTCCAAATGTCACAAATATTTTAGATTCTCAGTTTGACATATTGAAGTATAAATACTTTATCATTATATATTCTCTTGTGCTGTTTGTTCTAAATTCACTCACTTCAAGGCATTGATAAGAATCAAAAGAGATAGCCAAGCATATTTAGTGAACAGGGAAAATGATAGAACCTGACTTAACAAGTTGGGAAGCATGTTTAAAGGAAATCGTAACACTTGAAATAAAGAGAGAGATGTGAATGCCCTTGCAGGTGTCAAATCTCCACCAAGGAAAGTGAATGTCCCGAATGAAACCAATGTCACAACCACTGGGATGCTGTTCAATATGAAACTGTTGAACTGCAATAGAAAGCAATAGTAAGTCAAGACAAGAAAGAATTTTACACATTGAAGCCTAGCAGTATGATAATTGATATGCATATGCAGCATATATAATGGAAGACCATCTATAGAATATGATGTAGGAGAATCGTGAATTCATTAACTTAAAGTATTATGCTTTTAGATACTAAGCATATGGTGAACATATTAATTTGATAAGTCTACATCATCATCACAATACCGACTACTTGTTGGTGTATGTAGCTATATACTCAATTAGTAAGTTTGCAGTTAGCAACAAAGGGTTGACTATACTATGTTAGGCATGCATGCCTTTTCTAGGTGTTTTTCTATTTCCATCTTTGGTTTTGATCAAAATGGAATCATGCAATATAAATTGAGTATAGAGTAAAAAAAAAGTTCAAAGCATATTTGGTAATTTACAGTTTCCAGAAAACAGTAACAATTATAAAAGTGTAATCAGTCAAATCTATTAGTTATGTGTCCACCACAGTAGTATTCTTTGAAAATTGTGAAACAATTTTAAATAGCAGCTAATTGAATCATTATGCTTTTGGCACCCTTCAAATAGATATGAGCGAAAAAATTCCAAATTTGTGTTCTGCAACATACAGCAGATAGTAATTGTGCATTGCGGAACCATGATAGCTCATCATTGCGTATATTTTGAACTTTGGACTGGAAGCTCTTCTCCCATGCATAACATCTGGAACAATTTCAGTATAATGTCAGAATAATCACCATGAATGATGTAAAACCATGTTGAAGTGTAAGGCTTATTCTTCTCAAATTCAAACATACTTAACAGTGTACATGGCAGCCAATATTTCATTCATGAGGCTGACTCTCTTGTCAGTCCTCTGCAATCCTTCTTTAGTTAGTTTTCTCATTTTGCTTATAATAATTGTCTGTTATCACAAAACATCAAAAAAAGATAACATAAATTATACATGATGTACTTAAGGCTTCATAATCAAAACAACTCTAAACTTTTAATGCATTTGCAATTTGACTGTAACCTTTTAATTTCATCAAATTTTCCCTAATGTCAAAGATTCGTTACAGTTTTACCCGAGGCCAAAATTAATAGGAAAATCATATTGTTTTATTATTAATTAGAAGATCAAAATGTCAAATTGGCTCTTGAAGTTATACTAGATCTTCAATTTATAACCTTGATATTTCCATTGGACTTAATTGAGCCCTTAATTGGTTAATTAATTGAGTCATTAGAGTCATCCACGATAGTTAAAAAATTTGGAAAGCTGAAGAGCCCAACGGACTACAATCAAAATTTAGAGATTAATATTTTAAGGTTTTCCTAGGTCATCCCTTCTACCTTTTGGCTTGTGCTATGTAACCTCAGTATGGACCAAGCTTATCAGTGAGATCTTCTTGAGATTTCACTTATTTGGTTCAGGGACATTCTATAAATTTAGCTTTTCATGCTCGTGATGAACATAGGAATTTGAATAATTGACAAAAATATACATAGTAAATGACTGAAGCAACACAGATACATATTAACAAAGGATAGGAAGCGTCTGACCTGTATTGGGACCATGAGAACAAGGATTAGTGAACCAAGAAGCGAAGCAACACCAAGTTGCTGATAGAGAAGAACCATAGCCATGGTGATGCGAAATGGAGCTGACCACAATCCATGTAGTTGTTGGCATATTTGCTGAACAATGTCCAAAGGAAAATACCTTAGCCCTAAGAAACAAAAGAAAAATGGAGAAAACAAGCTGTGTTCTTTTACTGGTTTAACCACTTTTGCATATGGAATAAATAGCAAGTAGAGAAGTCACACTAGATATTTTATATATTGCTTACAGTAAGAATGCTACTCTCCCTTTGATCAATGATGCCCTATAAAATTATATATTTGGTTTTCATTTAATTTAAATTTCTTCTTGTTTTCTTTTTCCATCCAATGACATGAATTTCATGTTTACCTCTTATACAAGGGACAATAGAACCAAAGCAGGCCATTGTGCCTACAGTTATTTTGAAGCAAAATTTCCTTTTTCTTGAATGAATTAAGCAATTAACATCAATGGCCACTCAGAAAGAGCATACCTGAAGTGCATTGGCATCTGTAGTGATCATATTTGTTATCTTCCCAGATGGAAAATTCTTGCGGCTCTCATGAGTTAGTCTCAAGGATTTACGAAATATGGCAGCCACCTGCAATTAAAAGCAATTGGCTATGAACAAGGCATCTCATTTCAAAATACTTAATTCATTCAGGAATGCCAAAATGGAATCTGATTAGGCAATTGACCAGATTCAGAAGGGAAATGAGGCTGAATCCGATATGCCAAAGCAGCTCCATGTGTGTCTAGACATTGTTAAAACAGAACAATGATTTACCAAAGTTGATCTCAGCCGAAAACCAGTGCGCATAACATTCTGAAAGTACTGAGATTCACATAGCACACCTAATGACTGAACCAAGTAAAATCAACTAGTCAATAAAAAGATTTCACCAAGTTATCTATGCCACAGGCGAATAAATACAATAGATAAAACAAAGCAGGCAGATAGAGAAGCAAAACATAAATAAATATCTCATAGCATGATAAAATTAATTAAGCATAAAGAAAAACAATATAGGAATAGGAGAAGGAAGCTCACGAACCTCAAGAACTGCTTAATATAACCATTTACTCTTTCAGACACACTAAGAAAATTGTAATTCATGTCATTTATCACTTGTCATTTAAAAATCTTTAAGTCCCAAGAGTAAGAAGTTGGGAAAACCTTAAATTCAGAACTCAAAAGTCAAAACATCATTGTTAAATGTGCAATATCCTCCTGATACTATAGAGTTTATAAAATGATAAAGCAGTTATTCCCTCTACTGATACAGCTCAAAAGAATACAATCAAGCATATGAGAAATTTTGAAGATTGAAAGATGAAAATAGAAACTAAATGACTTGAAATCCTTGCCCAGACTCAAAACAAAATACATTTTGCATGCCCATGGAAAAGCATATGAAAAATTCTTTTAGGAGATATAAAATTCAAAATGATAAAACATGAAATAGGAACCATACCACTCCAACAAAAATTGAGAAAGCATAGATATAACCAATCCAGGCTGGATCCCCTCGTTGCATTGACTGCAAAATGATAAAAGACTTACAATATTATGAGTGCATGGCATTAAAGTTGAGTTTGTTTCAAATAAAATCTGATTTAATTAACTAAACTACTCTGTTGCCGTGAAAAAATATACGTAAATAGAAAACTCCAGTTAAATTTGCTTAGAAAATCAAACTATGATTTGTTATCTTTTCTAGGAAACTAGAATATCAAACTATTTTTCTTAAAAAAAATGATCAGAATGTGATGTTAAAATTACACTACAGTTAAATTTGCTCTAAAAAATATCCAGAAGATAAATCAACATCTATTACAACATTCCTAGAACTCTTCTAGTTTGGTTTTGTTGATGTGTGTGCTAAATTAATCAAGCTAATCAGTATCACCTAAATGTTAGGCATGGTCCAATAAGATTTGGTGAGTTTGAAATAAGATTTTCCTGATTTTTGCAGATTCTCCTGATTTTTTCTTATATTTTCCAGAGAGAAATAAACTATTATAGAAGGCAGAAACCTACTGAACCCACAACAATGATGATAAACATTAATACAATCCATGAGAATTTTCCACAACAACAAACCTTTAAGAGATGGTTCAGCAAAACAGGCCCAACAAACTGTGAAAGATCATTTCCAATCTACAAGAAATCATTAAATTCCATGTGAATCGTGCCATTAGTAGAAAGTTTCATAATTTCACATAAAATAAATTTGGAGGAAAATGGAAAAGAAATGAGCAATTGATATGTCAAATCCAAGTTCGTCAAATTCAAGCCATAATTTTCCTCAGGTATCTATAATGATCAGGACAGGAACTTGTCAGGCCAAAGAAAAAGGCATATGAGCATCCTGCTTCTAACTCAATTAAAGAAGTTAGACCAAACTAACATCCGTGATAAATAAAACAGGAGATAATTACCTTAAACAACCCACCCAACCAGAACCTGCAGAAAATTTATGAATGAAAACAAAGAGACATATATCAATGCATGATATATTTCTAACCACCTGATTGTTTATCAATTAGAATCAAAAGGAAAAGAAATGAAACATGAGAGCAGAACCAATACCTTCTCCCAAAGCTATTGTTCAATGCTCTTAAAAGCCGTGGCTTTGGCCTTTGAGATTCTTCAATCCAACATTTCCGGAACCTGCAAAAGTAGAAAATTTTTTTCAGAAGTCTGCAGCAGTGACAAAGTTCGAGCAGAAACCTATATAAGAGATGAAATGTGGGACAAACTTTTTAATCAATGTCTCAGTCTGATCCCATGTGTCTAACTTCCATACATCCTTTTCAGTGATAGGCCTTTCATAACCTTGCTGCATAAGTGGAGTCATCCATCCAAAACATATCCCTATAAGAGGACAATGACCAACGTAATCAGTACGCAGATCAGAATTAGATCCCTCGCCAATGTGCAAATCATATTTGTATTTGAAAACAATAACCAAGAAGTAGAACTGCTTAAAAGAGGAACATAAAATGGGGGACACTGAACTGAAAATTTAACTACTTACTAGAAAATAAGTTGACATGCCTCTCGGGACATATTCGCTCTTCTCCAGGAAGTTTTTCATATTCACCATTTACAGGATACTCAGGTTGCACAATGTTGTAACCTGGATGAGGATCCAAATCGGGAATATACACAAGAAGAAGAACACCAAACAAAACCTACACCGCAAAAATGTTGATAAACCATAATACAATTGACATCCCTGGAATGGTTCCAAAATAAGTTAAAAGGAAAATCAAACAAAACCCAAGGTATATTGTTCATATTTTTCTATGCAAAACTTGACATTCTAACCCCAGCTTCAACCTGTGTAAGCAAAATTCTTTATGGTCCCACATTTTAATTAGATCACTATGTGGTTTGCCACAGCCTATACAGCACATAAGTGGAAAGAATCCAGATTTAAGCCCTTTCTGGGGTCAAGACAGGATAAGTATCTGCAACCTACATAGGCATAAAAAAAATTGAATTTTTCCTCTCTATACCATGTGCTAGCTAGTAAAGATTCCAACAATATTGAAATTTCCAGCTACCGTTATGACCTTGTTATGATTGTAACATGGAAATTCATGGAAACTAATTTTATGTTACCAAAAAATATTTGTTGCCTTGGCATTCAATAATCTGAATCTTGAACCAACTTGTAGCTTTACACAGAATCTAGAGACATCTACTACGTCTACTAGGGCAGGAAAAGAAAATAAAAAAAAGGCAACAAACCTGGCAGAGAACAGAACTGAGGTATGTGTACAATGCAAATCTACAAACAAACAAAGAATGAGAATGTATTGTCACCAACACATCTAAAAGGTTTGAACTTAAAAGATGTAACTCCACAAATGCAATGTGCATCCTTATCTAGAATAAGCCCATCCAACCTCATACCAAAGTTTATGCATTCGTTATACATAGTTTTTTTTTTTTTTTTTTTTTTTTTTTAACAAGATGAGAATGTATTGTCACCAACACATTTCTAAAAGGTTTGAACTTAAAAGGATGGTTAACTCCACAAAAATTGCAATGTGGCATTCCCTTTATCTAGGAATAAGCCCATCCAACCTTCATACAAAGTTTATGCCATTCGTTATACATAGTTTTTTTTTTTTTTTTTTTTTTTTTTTTTTTTTTTCTTTGAGGCTTAATATCATCTATTAAAATTTTCCCTAAAAAAAATGAGTTTGTTGCATATCTATATTACCACTAATCATCAACATAACAATAACTTTTTTAAATTCCTGACCATGAATACTAACAGCTACCTTACATAATGCAACATTTTAACAAGAAAAATCCCATGATCTTCATTTCAGAAGCCTAATATGGATTAAAAACAAAACAGACACTATCATCACTAGTTGAAGCTGAAAGTTCTAGTACAGTTTTGAAAAGTACATAAATAAAGGCCATTCACCTGTAATGTTACTTCATTTGAGCTTGCTAAATATACACCAAGACAGAAGTTTCTGATTTTAATAAAATATTCCATTCGTAATAACATTACTTTACCAAAGGCATTACCATATCTTTGCAGCATTAATGAAACATATTTTTCAAAAATACAAATTATAGTCCAACATTGGGTAACAGGCAAATCCATGTATATGTATTGTGTCAAAATCTACAAAAGCCAAAATGTCCTTTGAAATTAAAAGTTCACAAGTTTAATCCCATATATAAAAGTTCAGCAAGTTTAATCCATAAATATACTATATATATATATATATATATAATATATATAGTAATACTATATATCCTATATAGTATATATATTTTTTTTTTTTTTTTTTTTCAAAAGCTCATCACAGCCTACAATTTCCATTTCTTTATGCACAATTTTTAATAAGTTTGATAGAATGACATTTTCAATAATGAAATCATACACAAGTTAATACTGAGAAAAATTTGGCAATTTTTTTTCAAAAGCTCATCACAGCCTAAATTTCCATTTCTTTATCCCAATTTATAAGTTTGATAGAATGCATTTTCAATAATGATCATACACAAGTTTAATACTGAAAAAATTTGGCATAACTGATGCCACATGCTCTCAACTTACAATGATATAACTAAAGAAATATTGCTCCATTATAAATGTACAGTCTTACCTTGTTCTTGATAAATATAGATAAATGAGCACAGGAGATAGTAAAGGTATCAAGAGTCAATACATTCATTTTATTGCCAATATTAACTCACAGTTTAATGCTGCATGGTGAAAAAAAAAAAGAGGTGACTAAACTTAATAGCTTGGGAATAGGAGAAAAACTAACCTGCTGTAGTAACCTTGCATACGAAAAATTAGATTAAGCATTGCAGCGTCCCCTACCAACACATAAATAACTCCAAACCGCACATACCACCGAAACTGCCGGATATAAATTTTGGTTTCCAAACTGAGCATAATAACCATTGAACACCAGGTAAGAGCCTCAATGATCAATGATACAATCTGCAACAGGGAAAAAAATTACTTGAAATATATTGATAAGTAATGGACTATCATAACAAAAACAAAAACATCCCTACTGAAACCATATTATGACCTGATAAAATAAAAGAAAGACAGATATGGTTCACCAATCAGATCTGTAAGACAATGAGCAAATTTTGGATAGTATGCCGAGATTATTAAAACACATTGCTTCCATGAGGAAGCTTCCAATTTAACAAGTAGAGATTCAAAGCTTCCAATTTAGCAAGTACATATTCAAACTACTGCACAAATTGAAGCTAGCACTTCCAAAATCGAAAATCCTTAATTATGGGGAACTTGACAGAATACTTTTAAATAAGAAAACATACCTCAAAGAGGGCAAGACTAGTCTGTCCATCCAGGTTAAAAATAGAGATATCCATCACCCACCTCAATAAAGGCTCAGCTGTGCAATAGGCAGCCAATAACCCTAACATATAATTGTAGTACTTTGTCCTCAAACTGTACTTTTCAGCTTTTGAATTGTTCTTAATCAACCAGATTCTGTAAAAGCACAACCCCAGAAGAACCAAATGAGAAATGCAAATCACTAGAGAATCAATGGCACATGGGGTATATGCACCAAATGCACTGTCCACTTCTTTTCCCCAAACCCCATTTGCCACCGGTCGACAATACCAGTCCAATGGCTCCAAACCCATCTTTCCTCACCACCTGCAAAACATCACAAATTAATACATTGATTTATACCCTCAAATTTTGTGTTTCCTAGTAGAACCAATATTTGCAAAACTCAAACAAAACTTAACTGGTTGTCTATGATAAAATACACATTCAGAACTTTACACATTAACAGAACAACGAAAAATTCATCTCAGTCCTAATATTTGCAAAGCCAACCTTGTTAACTCAAAACATATAAATCTCGAAAGAGAAACTGAAAGAAAATGCAACCACCCTCCATTTGGTTGCTGATAAAAGAAAAGTTAACTTCACGAGTTTGAAATTGTTTCATTTGAATACCAAAGTACTCATTTCAATCTCTCACAAAAAAAAAATGAATTTTAACATTTTCTCAGCAACCAAGAGGGGCCATAAATAACAGAAAGAGAATAACAGCCACAAAGATGCAATTAAGCTTATCCGCTCAAAGCTTCACCAGTTTACGTACATACGTAGTTAATTAAACCCAACCCATTGTGCTCTGTGTCTTTACTAATCCAACTTTTAAAGAAATCATTTTTTTAAGCAAATAGCAAATGGGAAATTTCGAGCACCCTCAATTTACCAATGCAAAACACAAAGTCCGTTTAACTGTTTCAATTAGCATCATAGTCTTACAACAATGAGCAACTGAAATAGAAGAAGAATATGGTTGTACCTTCGAGGATCAAGAATCAAGAACCGGTTTAAAAGTTTTGGCACTGTCACTCAAGATTGTTTGAAAACTAGCATAACAAAGGAGTATGACTTGCATGGTCACTGGTGAGTCAATATATACAGTATACATAATTACTAAAGAACAAAGAATACAATTGGTGTTTCGAACAAGAACAGTAAGCCAAGGAGAGAGGCAGACGAGAGAGAGACAATCAGACAAAACATGTGGAGGTTTGCAACGTCACGGCTGACGTAAGGTCACGGTTGACCTAATATCGGGTAAGACTCCATAGGATCATAGATACTAGTGGATGGCAATTTTACCCGCCCGAATAAAATTCGTCCATCCAAAGATGGATATGCTAATCCAATAATTGAATTTTATTAAATAATACTTCTCCAACCCATGTGAATTGATTTTTGGTCTGTAATTTTCTTTTCTTATTTCCATGAAAGAAAAGAAAAAAATACCTTTAAAAAAATAAATAAAATAAAAAAATTTACTCAAGAAACTGCGAAAAGAAATATAAAGTGGTGGTTTCTTTGTTCCTAATATTAATCTCTATCACATTAAAAAATATATATATATTTCACGTTAAAAAATACCAAAAAAAATTTTTTTTTACACTCATACTGTAATAGACAATTTAACATCCTTTTGATAATTTCTTTTAAATAAAAATATTATATATAATATTGACACTATTTTCCTTCTAATAAAAAAAATATTGACACTAGGTTAGAAATTTATCCGTTTCGTGTAGACCGACGTGAACAGAGGCTGACCCGGCCTAAGTAGTTAGGGGCTAAAATATAATTTTTCCTAAATAGCAAGGGCAAACTATAAATATTCTTTTACAAAAATTACACTTAAAATTTAAAATAAATTTATGATTTTACCCTCCCCTCCGCTTTAGAGTGCATCTACCCCCTGCATGTAGTGTTGTGTTGTGTTTAATATAAAATGTATACCCTGCCAAAATTCACCTGTCAGCCGGTGCCAATGGGCGCGTTTGAATGAAATATAATATTCTGACGTAGGTCGTGACATGTGTCCTTTTGGAATTAGCAATTATTGTTGGGTAAAGTACTTTTTCATCCATAGATTTGTCATAATTAACTATTTAGTCTCTTTATTTTGAGGTTTTGACTCTTTAAATATCACTTTATGGACGAAATAATTATTTTATCAAATATATTTAAGTTTCATTTTCCTGAAAATAGAGACTAAATAGTCAATATAGCAATTGGCAAACCTTATTTACTAATGATTAGACAATTAGGTTCTTTTTTTTTTTAAATAGCCATTTAAACCGTTCTGTTAAAATTTAGCTGAATATATAATTTAATTATTGATGTTTAAAAAAAAAATTTGTTGCACTATTAATTTTAAAATCAATTTTGTGTCACTCTCGATTTTTTTTTTTTAATAATCTCACACCTTATTAAATTAGAAGCAATAAAATTTTAAGGTTTTTGGCTTTCATTTGCAAAAAATTGATTTAATATGTGATTCTATAATTTTTGAAGCAATAATCTTTATATTTTTAATTATCTAATAAGTATTTAATCGATATAATTTTATAAGTAGAAGTGTTTAATAAGTCAATTAAAATATTTAATAGGTACAATTTTATAGTTTGAAGTGTTCAACAGGTCAAAATGAAAGTTGAAGATGTCATAAAATTTTTAATAAAAAGTAAATTGGTGAATTTATGCATTTTTATATTCCATGTGTGTTTTTTTTTTTTTTTTTTTTTTTTTTTCAACCATGAAAGTTGAAGATGTCAATAGAAATTTACTTAATAAAAAGTAAATTGGTGAATTTATGCAACATTTTTATATTCATGTTGTGTTTTTTGTTTTTTTTTTTTTTTTTTTTTTTGTTGCTTCAGGGGTTGAGGTATATCTAATTAGTTTATTAATGTATCAAAAATACCCAAAACTTTGGTTAAAGTTTTATCAAGTTTACTTTTATTTTGATTTTCTGTCAATGTTTATTCTAATTTTGAATTTATAACGATAGATACCGCTCGAATTGCAAATCAAAGGATGGTTATGTACAAATATTTTTTTTTTTTTTTTTTTTTTTTGTTGCTTCAGGGGTGAGGTATATCTAATTAGTTATTAATGTATCAAAATACCCAAACTTTGTAAGTTTTTATAAATTTACTTTATTTTGATTTTTCTGTCAATTTTATTCTAATTTTGACATTTTATAACGATAATACCCTCGATTGCAATCAAGGATGTAATTACAAATAGAAAAAGTATTTCCATGCTTTTTTAAGTATATTATCTTATTGTTAAATAAATAATAATACTAGTAATAACATTTTAAATATTTGAATATTAAATTTTATCCACATTTAGTAGGTTACATATTTATAAATTTAGAAATATGATATTTAATGTGCAACTAAAATAATTAAGAAGTTACTTTTTTTTATAAATAAAAAATAATATGGCTATATTATTTTTTTTATAAATGAAAAACAATATGGCTACAAAATATATAATTGAAAGATTATATTTTATTAATTGAACTTTATGCCATATTTTGAAATTTTTTAGTAAGAAACAAAAAATTATCACTAAATTATTAATTAGTACATTTAGTTTAAAAATTTAAAATTTAATCTGTACAATGTCAATTGGATAGACTAATGGATTTTTTTTAATTTTTATTAAATATGAATGAAAATACTTTTTTATTTATAATTTCATCTTTAAGTGCAATTGAGGGTGCTATTACGAGAAAATGTTAAAATTAGAATAAAATCGCCCAAAATGTTAAAATAGAGTGAAATTGCAAAAATTCCTGAAGTTCAGGGTATTTTGAGATATAAATAAATCTTGATACAAGATTGTGCAATCGGTCAATTTGATTATACATGCAATTGAAGGTGGTAAGATCGAAAATTATACTATATTTTTCTTTAAACAAAATCAAAATTGAATTGTGTATAATACCGGATTGAATTGAGGGATAAAATTGATTCGATTTGTTTTATTAATTTTGACTTATTTTCCATAACAAAATAGAAAGTTAAAATGAAAGTCTTTTATAATTATAAATTGAACCAAACTAATCAATTTAATTATTATATCAAAAATCAAATTGAACCAATTTGGTTCAACTTTTCCATTTAAACCAACGCCTCTTTAACTGCAATGATGTTTGTGCCTTAAAATTCATAAGTTAAGCTTTCAATTTTGAAAGAGGAATCTAAAGGAATCAATTTGATTTGATTCTACAATAAATATTGATCGGGTAAATCGGGTTATACTTAAAAAGTATTCATTTTTCTTTTCTTTTCAACTCATTTAGATTTAATCTATTGTTTTCTGGCCCGGCTAGGTGGGATAGTGGAGAAAATTCATATTCATTATTGTTAAAGCCAATATATATATTTTATGACCAAGATGTATAATGCGTGGTGATAGTAAAAAGTAAATGTTTTTTTCCCTTATAGTAAAGTGTATTTTTCAATATTGAATTTATATTTTTACTTTTATGAAAATTGAGATCGCTCATCACTCTAACCGATACTTTATTGATCAAATTATGTTACAGTTTTAATAGAAGAAAAATGATTATCAAATTATGTTCTATATATTAAATTTATCTAAAACGCTACAAAGAAAGAGTCTTAGTTATCCCGATTAGATGTGGTTTGATTGGCCGATTTCGATTCCTCTGTCATAAAAAAATGTTTTGGCTCTTCTTACTTCTAGTTATATTTTTAATGTGAAATTATTAAAATAGATTATAAAGTTTTCCATTCATACATATTTCTCACAAGCTAATGTTATATATATAATAAAATTATTAAAATGATCTACCACCACCAAAACTCTAAAATTAAGGGATTCAAAAGAAATTTTAAAAAATGAGGAGATACTAAATGAAAAAGAAAAAAAAAAATTCCATTCATAGGTTTAGAATGAATTTTTTAAAACATAAAAAATTCGACTAGGGGGTCAGCTGCCCCACCCGTCCCCTATGTTTAAATTCTGTTGCTCTGCCATGTTATTCTGAAATTAGAAAACTAGAGCCAAACAGTGTACAAAAACCAAATCAAACTTCGGTTGGCTTTCAGAAATTTTTTGATGATCTTAGATTTATTTTTTGGGTTTCAGAAATTCAAATCCTCCTGCATTGGAATAAAAGGAAATGAACAAACTTGTAATAAATACCTCAAGAAAAATTTTTGTAATGTACATATAAATAGAGCTCAAAAAGGATTAGTGCGAGTTGGTTATGAACATACAAGGCATGGCAAATTTTGTGCCACAACAGCTTACAAGCAACACCTCTAACTGATTATTGAATCGAAATAACCTACTTCTAAGCCCTATATGTGATGCATACGCACCGGCGCTTATATATTAGGAACCCATTTAAGGTTTCCAACCTCAGCTAGTCAAATGTACAGAAGGGTGTTTTCTGAAATTAAAAAATCTGAAGCATATGGACAAATTCCAGATTCTATACAAAAATATTGTGGCAGATAAATTACTTCGTAAATGAAGGCAATAGTAATTTAAGCACAAACCCAGTTCTCGAAATACTCCTTCCTATATTTCAACGTTGTCCCAGTCAATCGATCTGTTTTCGAAGCCATTATCTGAATGAAGTCCGTTCTTACCCAGTCTGGCCATCATTGCAAGACCTGGATAGAAGATTATTAAATGAATGAGTAAAGAAAACCATAATGGAAGGAAGAACTATAAATAAATGAGTCCAATGCCAAGTGGCTGATTATAGCAGGCAGCATTGGCAAGTGCAATGTAAGCTGCTGTTTTAAAGAACAATAACTGATTAAACTGTAATAGACACTGGCAACTCAACAATACAAAAAGTTATCGATCCATTTTGTAACATGAGTGAACAAGGTTTTAGGGTTACCACAAAGTGCATATTAAATAAAGGATGCGTTAATGGAAAAGAAAAATGAATTGATAAAATGCAAAGAAATAGAAAAGCAATGCAAGTATTCAAGGTTATGCAGGGCCCATGTAGTACAACAAGGAACAATTAATTTATACCTTCAACCATCTTATAAAGAGCTGACCACCAGCCATCTCTGGAAATTTGATATTCATCTAATGATTCTTCTATTATTTTGACATGCTTCCCTTCCAAAACTTCCTGCAAAGTTATCACTGCCTCCTTTGTTTTCTTGAGGATACAATTTTCATCCGCAATTTCCAAACGCTGAAGGTCATTCTGTGATGAGGTGAGGCTAACAGCAAGGGCAAATTGCGCAGCAGCAGTCCAGCGAGAAGAAGCCACCCATTTTCTCTGCTCATCTAACTGTTTGTTCTCTTCTCTTCTGAACCTACTCTCTCCTTCCCCTCCTAGTACCAAATTGCGCAAGTACTGAGCATTTGCAGCTCCTGTACTTTGGACCATCCGAGAGAAAGCACTATTTTCGTTTGATAACAGCTCCTCTGGTGTATCATATTCCAAAACCTGAAGAAGACGATGTATGAGACATTCAAAAAATAAATGAAAAACATAGAGATCAATGATCTAAAATTTCTACCAATTAAGAATCTGCCTGTGCACTAATGATAGAATGTTTGCAAGAAAGAGAGCTTTATTTGTTCATATTGAAATGGTAAATAACAGGGATAAATTGAGATTACTGTATTCACCAACATTTAGTATAAATGCATAAAAATTTGTGATAGGCTGGTGACCCGTGATCTTCAGTTCTGTAATGACTAAAGGTCATCATAAATGACAGGCATTGAACAGTAATCTCAATTTATCCCGTGGTCATCAGTTGTCTGTAATGAAAAAAGTTCATCATACATGAGAGGCATTGAACAGTAATCTCAATTTATCCTGTGGTCATCAGTTGTCAGTAATGACAAAAGGTCATCATAAATGACAGGCATTGAATAGTAAAGATTGCCAGTGTCGAGTCCTCGGCAAAGGCATTCTATCTGTAGAAGAATACTCAAAATGGCATCATTTTCTGATTATGGAAAATCAAGAGCATATAATGCAGTTGGCAGTAGTAGCTTGCAGACACAGAATGATGGCAATAAAAATAAATGATAGGCATCTATTGCAGCTGCAGCTGCAGCTGCCAGTGACTAGCAGTGACTGCCAGAGTAATATCAGCACCTGTTTACACAGCATCAGCTGTTAGTGATATGGTTATTGGTGGTTAGAACAAGTAGCTGTATGCAAGCCTAAGGATCACTAGTAATGCTAAAAGGCTCAAATTTGTTTGGATTTTGGAAAAATGTTACTGAATTTGCAACAATCATTTTCCAGAAATTACATTTGATGCTCCATTGACCAGAAAATAGAAGAATATAGCTTTCCATATATCTTCTAAATAATGCCAAAAATAAAGCTTCAGACTGAAGGCCTACCTTGCCAGAATCAAGTAGAAGGATGCGATCACAATCGATGATGGTGTTAAGTCGGTGAGCAATGATTAGCATTGTACATGATTTGAATTCTTCTCGGATGGTTTTCTGAATAAGAGCATCAGTCCTTACGTCAACAGCAGCAGTAGCTTCATCAAGAACAAGTATCTTTGATCTCCGCAATAATGCTCGAGCAAGACTTAATAATTGTCTCTGTCCAACACTGAAATTCTCTCCAGCTTCGGAAACCTTGACAGGTGACATGAAAGATTATAGTTCAAAGCCATAAGAGAAAAACACAAAATTTAAACAAATCCAGTACAGAAGAATTACCATAGATCAGTACAATACCAACACAACAACATACATCAAAGCAATACATGGCATGATTTAAGGAATGACCATAAACTTCCAGAAGAGACAGATCATGACTATAGAATAGAAAAAATGGTCTGTAATATTACAGACAATAAACATGATTTTGCTCCCAAGGAATTTATATTTATATATATAACAATACATCAAAAGCAATACATGCATAGATTTAAGGAATGACCATGAAACTTCCAAAGAAGAGACAGAATCATGAACTATAGAATAGGAGAAAATTGGTTCTGTAAATATTACAGACAATTAAAATGATTTTGGCTCCAAGGAATTTAATTTATATATATTATATATTATATTATAATTATATATAGTATTATATATATAGGGAGGGGAAGTGGGGAGAGAGAGAAAATGAAGAGACAGTTAAAAAAAAAAAAAAATTCATACAGTTGGTATAGAAAAGCTCTGAAGGGACTAGTCAGGTTCAAGCTATCTCTTAAAAAAGGTTTTTAACAAGGGAACCCCCTCCTACAATGGCTAAGCTTGATGATGATATATTAACCCTTGCATGGACTTTTTACAACAAAGAATTATTTTCCCCAAAATCCAAAATAATAGAAATTTAAAATGAAATAGCATGTACCTCAGCATAAAGACCTAATGAATTTCTTCGGATAACATCCTTTAAGTGTGCCCTCTCTAAAGCCTCCCAAAGATCAGCGTCATTGTGTTCATTGAAAGGATCAAGGTTAAACCTTACAGTTCCTAGAAAAAAAAAAAAAAAACACAAGTTAATTATCACACTCTTATAATCATGAAAGAAGACCGATATTATAAATAGTACGCACCTGAAAAAAGAACTGGTGATTGTGGTATAATACCAAGTACTTTCCTTAGATCCATCAAACCAAACTTTGCAATATCACAGCCATCAATGGAGATTCTTCCTCTTTCCAGTTCAACAATTCGAAATAAAGCATTGAGCATGCTAGATTTGCCTGCACCAGTCCTTCCAACTATCCCAACCTTGTCACTTGGAGAAACTGTAAAGGTCAGTCCATGTAGGACCGGTGGGAGTTCAGGCCTATACCGCAAGACCACATCCTCAAACTTGATTGATCCTGATGAAGGCCATCCTGGCGGGGGGCGGTTCCCTTCAATAATCGGAGGAGCCTCTGATGGCAAATCTATATATGTGCCAATCCGCTCCACAGAATTTAAACTATTCTCAGCTAAACTTGCTAGTCTGAGTACAGTGGTTAGCAAACCCGTAATATTTAAAGCATAACTGAGAAGCAGACCCATTGTTGATGCATATGCCTGCTGGTTCTCTGCCCTTCCATTCTGCATTACTGCAAACGTTGCTGTAAGCCATATCATAAGGCCTCCCACTGTTTCCAGACGGATTGCAAGCCAGCGATTCCCACTCATGTTGACAAGGGTGAATCTGATATTGTTGTCCATAGATCTACCATTGATCTCAGCCATCCGGTCGTAAGCTTTGTATGCACGAATAGTTGAAAGACCATTCAGAGCTTCTCCAAATTGTGCATAAACAGGTGATCTACTTATAGAATCCAAGCGCTTTACTTCACGTGCTGTGCTCTATAAAACAAAGTAGTTTTTTCAGATGAAACTGCACTCTCAAAACAATGTAGCACTTACAAAGAGAAACTATTTATCTACCCAAATGGCTCTGCAACAGTTCCATCCCAACTATGCTTGTAGTAAAAGGGAACAAAAACATAAAAAGCTATTTCAAAGTCCAACATCAAAGCGCTGTTAAAGTGAAATACAATATTTTTACCACTGTAAGTACTTGTGCTTTTATGATATGATTTTAAACAAAATGATCCACAATAGAGTAAAGGTAAAATCACAAACAATTATCAAAGTAGCACTCTCAAAACAAAGTAGCACTTACAAAGAGAAACTATTTATAAAATCACAAACAATAGCTTTTATGATCTCCCACGTCAACTAATGACAAAGACGTCATTATGAAATTCCAACTCAGATCCACTGGCCAATTGTTTAAATGGCTTCATTCAGCAAAAAGCATGCTGTAAAGGAGGAGGAACAGAGAATAAAAGCAATGATCTTCAAAATGAGTTCTAGTTCTCAAGGGAATCCAAATTGTTGGAATAAGGCTTCAACCACAGATAAAAATCTAGTGATGAATATGATATTGCATACCCATCAAATTTCATCCAGCTATTATTTACTCATAGCATATAAAAAGATTGGTGTGTATTTACTACAAACAAGATATTCTAGTGCTTAATTAAATCAAAATACACTATTATCTACGAAGCAAGAATCTATTTTAACACCTGACGACAAAAATAATATGAATGATAAAATATTTAGCAACCTATGCTGAAGTAAAAGGAGACAATTGGCAAAAAAGAAAAAAAAAATGCTAATTTTGCATGTTGGATGAAAACAACAACGAAAAGTTTCATTACCTGATAATATAGGTAGGCACCATAAAACACAACCAAAAGCGGCATTATGGCCCACAAAGACATGGTGCTCACAATTCCAATAAGTACAAATGTGGAGAGGAGCTGTGACACCTGACCCAGAAACATATTCACAAATGGGGCAACATTCCGATCTATATCACCAAGATCCTTCGCAAACCTATTAATAATACGCCCTAGTGGATTTGTGTGAAAGAAGACCATTGGGGCTCTCAATATGGAATTAAGCATAGCATCATGCAGTCTTCTGGCAGCATAAAGACTTGATATGATTAACCAATATGAATTTAATAATGTCACCAAAACCTAGAAAAGGAAAAAGGTGAATCAGTTAGGGTCAAAAAAATAAGAATTTTCCCTTTAAAACAATAATTATTGATGTCAAATGATATGGATGCTTCCACTTTCTTAGCTTACATTGCAAGTCTAGTGATTAAATTATACTAGAGAGGATTGTCACAAGACCACTAAACAGAAATATTCACAATAGAACATGAATCACTCGTCATCTGGTTGATCCATACCTGGCAAAATGAGAGAATGGAGTAGATGAGGTTATAGTAAATAGGACCATGGCTCTTTGTAGTGACTTGATCTGTCCAATTACTTAACCAAGTACTAGTTGAAACTCTTAAAACTTCTGTTAGGACATAGCACATAAAGAGTACCATTACCACCCATGCACCTCCTAATGCATTCTTGTACCTAGAAAGAGATTGAGACTGTAACCTTTAGAATTTAAGAGAAAAACAAAGACAAGCTGTACAAGTGAAACTAACATATTTACATCACACAATGCGTAAGTATCAGTACAACAGTCACTTTTGAAAAAAGCCTCCCTTACTATCAAATTAGACGAGTGACTAGAAGGAATATTAAAAAAAGGACGATTAAAAGATAAAACACAAAGGACAAGCCAACAATCATATTTTTCAGCAAATCATCAAATTTAACTAGTATAAATAATTGAAACATTGCCATCCACATTTTATTACCTCATTAAAACCTTCCAACTGATAACACCCGTTTCCCGTTCTTCCTGCTTGATAAGAACAGACTTGCCTTCCTTTTGTTTTTTCTTCTCGCTTGCATTCTTTGGGAGATCATTCATTAACCCATTAGCAATGGGCATTGAAGAGGTTTTATGATCATCAGTTTCACCATTTTCCTTTTCTTCCTCATACTCCTCTATTTTTCCTGCATTTTCCATTAGTTTTTGGAACAGCATGCCATTATTGGAGAGCTCCTCAAAGGTTCCCTCCTCTTTCACCATACCCTCATGTACCAGGATAATTCTATCGACTTCTGAAAGAAAATGAAGCTGGTTTGTTACAAGAACTCTCGTTTTCCTGCTCAATTCTCCCTTGACGCATTTATCAAAAACCTGAAGATAATTGGTAGGTGAACGTTAGGCAGAAAATAAAAAATGAAATTACAATGGCTTCATCATAAACAATAATATCTAGGATAAGTAGGACACACAAAGGGATGCAAGGAAGATATAAATTCTTTAATTTATAGGAGGTTAACATTGTCATTCCCTGGATTTGAGCCTGGGGATACCTTGGAATAGCAAGGAGGGTTTAAAAATTGGTATCGATCATGGTTGTTGTGTCAAAAATACACAGTGCCATACTGCACACTACTGTGAATTTTCTAGAAATAAGTAACATGAAAAATTCATATTTTAAGTCTACACATGAATACTCCTAACATCAAAAATATATTATGGTTCAAGTCATAACTGAGTAGTTGATTAATAGTGTTAAAAATTACTTAACAGAAAAGCAACTTCAAAAATTTGATATATTCTATATTACAAAAAAGCACTTAAAACTTAAAATCCAAAAGGATAATTTTAAAATAATTTTGTAAAACACGATTATTTAATAATGGAGTAATAAAGGTGAAACTTGACCTAAATAGAATGTTATAAGAAAGCCCACTTGTATCATGTATGGTTTTATGAAGACGCCTAAATAGGAGCTAGGATTTGTGAGAAGAGTTAAAATGATAAGGAACACACACAGACACAAAAAGATATAGAGAAAGAGGATGAAGACTGAACTAAAGAGCCAACTAGGCACATCCCCCCCCCCAAAAAGATATATGAGAAAGAGGAGAAGACTGAACTAAAGAGCCAACTAGGCACATCCCCCCCCCCCTAACTTTTTTTCTAATTCTCTATTATACCCCCCCCCCCCAACTTATTTTTCTATTCCAATACAGTTCTTGCATTACACCTTGCAATGCCACCATATTTTGCAGGACAGGGCTGAGAATTAGCAGTTTATTTAATAGCCCTCTAATATGTTTGCAAAAAACTCCAAATGCAAGCATGTTGATAAGTCCTTTTATTTCACATATCAAGCAGCAGTCAAGTATCCCACATTTTTTTGTCCTGAAATTGATCTTGAGTCTCAAAACCACATACAAAAAACATCAGCACAATGGATGTGAGATGCCACATGATCATAATACAAAACAAAATTTGGTTAGATCAGTCTGAAGGAGCAACAACGATAACAAAACAAAAATTCTGTTAAAGCATATAAAGCATAACTATCTTACTTGTCGAGCTACATGAGCATCAAGAGCACTTAGAGGATCATCAAAAATGTATACGTCTGAATTGGAATAAACAGCCCTAGCCATGGAAATTCTCTGTTTTTGCCCGCCACTGATATTCACCCCTCTTTCACCAATCTCAGTGAGATCACCGCCCTGGCAATCAATAAACATGACAAAGATAAGAAAATTCAGGAACTAAAATTGTCCAAAAATTTGAAGCTCTCATATCATGAAAGCTAGATAATAATAATAATAATAATAATAACAACTTTCTGAAACAACTCACTGGCAACAAGTCAAGGTCATGCTGCAATGAAGTCACATCTATTGCCTTCTGATATCTTGCTGAATCAAAGGCAGATCCAAATAATATGTTGTCCCGCACCTGAAAATAATAGATTCTGGGGTCAGCAACTTATTATGAGTCAATTCAATAACATGGCAACTACAATTAATTCAAGCCCAACAAAGCACCTTAACCACATTAATGAAACCAACGATATGAGATTTACAGTTATCCACAAAAGCCACTAACATTAACATGGGAGTGACTTGCATATACATCAGGGCCTTTTTCTTTTTATGTTCATGGACAAATTACAGAAATACCAAAACTCCACACAAAATATACAGAGGCAGAACTAGACTTCCAAAATTGAAGGGCAAAAAATAACAGTGAGAAATAAAAAAATTAAGATCGTGGACTATGTGAAAAAATTTCAAATTGTGAGGTATCATAGTTATACTTTCAAGACATATAGAATTTAATGGCCATATGGATCAATCCAAAGAAAAACATATGAATTATAAGCATGTTATAACTTACAGTTGCATTAAAAATCCATGAAACTTGTGGAACATAAGCAACTGATCCCCTAATAACAGCACTCGAATCTGATATTGCAGGAAGCTCCCCAAGCATTGCTGAAATAAGAGATGTCTTTCCCTCTCCAGTACTACCAACAATTGCAACAAGGCTACCAATAGGTATATCCAAATTGATGTTTGATAACGTGGGCTTCTCCGCCTGGAATAAAAAATTTAATGCTCAAAAAATTAGAAGCATTTTCTCCAGCTTTGTATATTGTATGATAGCTAAAGAAGCAACATAACGCTCAAGTCTGTACATGTGAATAATTTTATCTTTACAAACGTGCATATTACCTACTGCTGAAATGAATGTGTTGATTTTCATGTTACAGACTATACACACAACAGCATGCATGTCAAAAACTTTTTTAAGCTAGGGTTGGCACTTTTCTCATCCTGAAGTATTGATGCAATAAAGACCCATAATCAGTGTTTATCAAAGGGGAAAAAATACTGTTTAAACAAAAAGAAATAACTATATTTTTAATCAATACAAAGTTACCCCGAATATAGAAGACTGATGTATCAAAAGTGATGCACATATGATCATAAACAGGCAAAAAAAAAAAACATGCACACATGTGGCCTAAAGCAGTAAATTTGATGAATTGAACCTTTGAATCCCAAGAAAAGTATCCATTTTTTATTGAGATGGCTGGTTCTCCTGGCTCAAGTGGAGGGTTTGGTAGAAGGATTCTCTCTTCAGATAGAAGTAGCTCTTCCAAACGCTTTAAGGACACATTTGCATTTACCACCTGTAAGATTACAGCACCATTAAAAAGTTAACTACACAAGCAGCTTGGACAAATGCAAGTATATAAAACACATCAATTAGGCAAACGAGATGAAATTAGAACAAAAATGAGGACCCATTATCAAAATTAAAAGTTCTCTATAAAGAATTGACTGAAAAATTAAAACTTCTGAATTTAATGTGTACCTTAAAGCAAACTTGGGACTTTTGTTTTTTTTCATTTCAAGAATTTTGCCTTCAATATATCAGCCACTGATTAGGTTAGGATTCAATCACTTTTTGGCTAAATTTGCTGACCTCTATTTTAAAATAAATTGATTGTCAATTTTAGGTAATAAATTAAACAAAACAATCTAAACTAAGTATTCTACTAAAATGTATTAGATAAGAAGTAGCACCTAAATTAACTAGAACAAGAAAACTATCCTAACAGTTAGCATTATATGCAACATCACAGTAGTGAGCAGAGTATAAGATTCAACACAAAGAAGCGAGAAATGGAAACCTGAGTGATTATGTTAGGAAGCATGAAGAGGGGAAAGCGAAGCACAGAGAAAAGGGAAAGCGATGTAAATGCCCTTGCAGGTGTCAGATCTCCCCCAAGAAAGGTGAACATACCAAATGAAATCACAGTCACCACCACTGGGAGGCTGTTTAGTATAAAACCATTCAACTGCAAAACAAGCAATGATCAAAGGATATTATTCATCAGCTCAAAAAGAAAAACCTACACCCAACTGTCTGCGCTAAACATCCATGTTGCAGATCAATAAACCAAAATTCAGTCACAAGTATCCATGTCTGGAATGCAGAACAGTTTTGTTTCAGGTACAAAAAAATTCTCAAAATATACAAATTCAGTTTCTAGACATGAGAATTTTTAGGATGAATTGACTGAGTGCAACACAGACAAAGACATGGAATTCAAGTTTTTCAACTGATATGTTTTTCCCCTTCTCCTAAAACCAATGACAGCCCCTGAAGAATGTTTTGATTAAGTTGAGGTGCTCACGTTGTTTTTCTTTTTTATTTTTTCTGGAGTCCTAGCATTGCTTTTCTATATCATAAAAAAGTTCACAAAAATCCAGCAGGGTCCTATCAATTCTCTTATCAAGTTGCCATTTTGAAGCATCAAACTTATGTTCCATTTCCATGCTATAACTCTTTTCATTGTCTTGGTCATAAAGATAATGGGGAATAAATCCACAAACATGTATGTTTTGCCATGTTTCTTTCAAGACTGAAGAGCAGGTTCTAAGACACACAACCCAGTATCCAGACTGGGATAATAAAATTACCAAAATAATAATTAAAAATTGAAAGCTGATAGAGTGAAAGAAAGCATCAATCATTTGGAGTTTCCAAATTATACTGCAAAAAAAAAAAAAAAAAAAAAAAAATTAAAAAATTGGAAAGCTGATAGAGTGAAAGAAAAGCATCCAACATCATTTGGAGTTTCCAAATTAATACCTGGAAAAAAAAAAAAAAAAAAAAAAAAAAAAAAAAAAAAGTATGAATTTCATCAAATATGCTCAGGCCATACCGCTCCCAATAAAGATGCTTTCCGGAACCATGATAATTCATCATCCCGGACATTTTGAACTTTTGCCTGGAAACTATCCTCCCATGCATAACATCTAAATCATTTTCAACAGAAAAAAAATGTCAGTAAAATCGCTGTAAGAAAATGAAGGAAATTTTGCTCAGAATGTATCATACTTCACAGTGTCCATTGCTGCTAAAATTTCATTCATGAGGCCAATTCTCTTGTCAGTTCGCTGCAAGCCCTCCTTGGACAACTTCTGCATTCTGCTTATAACTAATGTCTGTCCCAATATCAACATGCACATACAAATATTATGAACTATCTAATAAAAAGAATAAATAAAAATATGTGCATCAACAAACTTATAAGTTAAAGAATCAAAAGTCTAAGCAACTCTGAAAATGCACATGCCACCAGGCAATTCACTCAAAAATATGAAAAAGAAAATTAAACAAAAACAAATGTACCCTCCATTATTTTCGTCTGGTGTCTAAACAACTTATGGGATGAGCTATTGCATTACCCTTGATATGCACTTTTGACATTCAATATGTCGTTTATTGAGTTACAGGAAAACTTGTGTCATCTTTTTCTGTTTTTCATTTTCTTTCTCAAGCTTCTTTACAAAACATGTCATTCTGTTGGAAATTGGAGTACCCCATATCGGCCAAGCAAGAAAAAGGAAAGGGGCTTATAAAGTTCAAGCCACCAACCAAATTGGATTGGGCCACCTTGGTCGACGTATGCTATGTTGAATCCCAAGTACAATGCTGCCCAAATGGGTGTCCTTGGGATCCATGTTCAAGCCTCCACAGGATAAAAGCCAATGGAGATATGTAAGCCGTTCTATGTGATAGGAAGTGGGTGTGTAATGAAGTAACTCAAGGACTTATGGGTTCTAACATTTATTCACTTATAAACTCATGTTCTATTGTATGATTCTCCCAGACTTGAGCTCTTTGTCCTTAACAGCTAGCTTTTGAGGTATGATTCCCAAGGTCATAACAATTGGTATCAGAGCAGTGAGGCCCAATGGCCATAGATCCAAGACCGTTAAAAAAGGCATGGTGGGCAAAGCCGCAGCGAGCCAGAACCAGGTGGACCAATGGACTAGTCAAGGAGAGCTAGACCCTAAGGGCAAAGCCAAGATACAGGGTCAAGTGACAACTAGGCCTTAACAGGTCCAACCCAGTTGCACTTAAGGGGAAGGATTGGAAAGTGGAGCATCACACTTCAGCCAAACAAGAAAAAGAGAAAAGGCCTTATAAAGTTCAAGACACCAAAGCAAAAAAAAAAAAAAAAAAAAAAAAAAAAAAAAAAAAAAAAAAAAAAAAAAAAAAAAAAAAAAAAAAAAAAAAAAAAAGAAAGACAGAGAAATGAAGTGGGAGAGAGAGAGAGAGAGAGAGAGAGACGATGAAAAGGACTGTTCAGCCCCAGTTTTTGGTTCAGTCAAAAGGTAAGAACATACTGAACCAAACATTTGATATGTATTAAGACATTTAATGCATAATTTGAAGAACACACATAAAAACATAAACTATGATCCCTCCATTTAATCACAGTAAATTGGAATTGGAGTTTAAAGAGTTTTTTCCTTTTCTTGCAGCATGAATCACAAGTATTACAGATCATACAGTATGAGTGAACAAAAAAGGAACTTTCAAATACCTGTATGGGAAACAGAAGCACTAGCATTAATGCACCAAGAAGTGATGCAACACCCAGCTGCTGGAAAAGCAGAACCATTGCAATGGTAATACGAAATGGAGCTGACCACAAAGTATGAAGCGATTGGCATATTTGCTGTTAATGAAAATGAGAAATGAGTCATAACACCAACCAAGGTCTGTTAACAAAAGAAAAGTTGAAATTTGGAAAAAGAAAACCAGATCAGAGACTATTTTGAAATTACAGGTGGCATAACTTGGCTCATTAACATCTTTAAACCAGAGTCAGTCTTCAAATATCTACTATTACATTTGTATCAAAGAACCAGAGAGAAAGTACTCAGCATATCCTCATTAAACTAATACCATGACAAATTTTTATAAACAAATTGAATGGAATGGCAATCATATTGTCTCTAATCATTTATCAAGCATAGTAAACAGAAGATTGTAATGGAAGAACATGCCTGAAGTGCTTCAGCATCCGTGGTCATTAAGTTGGTTATTTTTCCAGATGCAAACTTTCGCCGACTCTCATGGGTTAACCTCAGAGATTTCCGAAATACAGCAGCAATCTGAATGCATAAGAGACGCAAGATACATTGATGTATATCATAATTCAGAACTTTCAATATTTACAAGAACCATAATGAAATCTAAATTTGACATTTGTTTACACCACTAAAACTGGATTAACAACCCATTTAAACAATCTTCCATTCCTCCCCTATGCAACCCCAGCCCCTGCCACACACTCACCCCCCAACTCTCTCTCTTTCTATCAAAATCATAATGTCCAGCAGGATTGAGTTGACAATTTTATCCTTCTTGCCATGTCCAACCAAATGCTGATTCCAGGTTTCAACCAAAACAAGAATGAAATCTGAAATCCCTGATCTCTATTTTTAGGTTTACACAGTAACATTCATCAGAAATTTTTTTTTTTCTGGTATTGATCTGCGGTAAAACTAATCCACTTTGCTCATGAGAATTTCTTTAATAAAAGATTCATTTTAGTTACATTGATTCTCATGGTTCATTTTGGTATTTTAGAATGAAATCAAAATAGAAACTGCATGTACAACTAATCAACAAGACAATCATATTACCAGAGTTGATCTCAGCCGATAACCAACACGCATGACATTTTGGAAATACTGCGCCTCACATAAAACGCCAAATACCTGAAAAAAGATCGCAAAATTTACACAGTATGGGTGAATAAGGACATGCAAGTAATAATCTAAAAGAACACATCGAATTTTATGAAAATAAATCAAAACAATACGAATAAAGACAAGGGGTAAACCAGAATCACCAAAGCACTTGTAATCTGATATACAAAGCATTTTTAATCTAAGGCATTTGTTACACTATTTCATCATTTTGCTTCTGATAATACAAATAATTATCAGTGTCACCTCCAAGCATTCTCCTCAAAAAGGCATGGAACCAAATATGGGAAAACAACAAAAGGAAGAACCTTTATTTGTTTGAGAATAGAACAACACCCTGCAGATTCTATCTGGTAAATTAAATCATAAGAGAACATTTATCAGTATATTCGATAGTTATAAATGCAGATTGTCACTCATTTCTGTGGCAATCATTAAATTTTTCTATGTATTGTACCATGAAAATAGGGCACAAAAGTACTTTGAATGAAGTATCAATGTTCAATATTGAGAAACAAGTTCCCATTTTAAGGATCATCAGTCCCTTACTAACCTAATCATACTGTTGTATCTTGAGTGATCATGACCTATAGAGTCCGGGCCATATTTGTCAAGTTCTTTGCTTGACATATAACACTTATATTTCCTACATATGCAACAACTAAGCCATGCTCCTGTCAGCAAAAATGATTAATGTGGCCGCTCAGTAACCAGTTTGCTAATCACTTGCTATAAAACAATGAGAGAGTTGTTATAGATATAGGAAACATAAGCCGTGTCATCTTGCCTATAATGCAGCATAGCTTGGGGATGTCTAATCATACCACAGGCAAGTTGGGATGAAATAATTGAACTTGATTTGCTTTGCTAGGGGGGTGGATAAGTTTAGTTGATACTCAAAGAAATAGCAAAACAAAAAATTTCATGTTGTCAAAAGAGCAATCGCATAACAATCTAAATCAGAAGGTAAATGTAATACTGGCAGAGTAGAGAATATATATCATACCACCCCAACAAAAATTGAGAAAGCATAGACATATCCAATCCAAGCCGGATCGCCTTGTTGCATAGACTGCATGAAGTTGACAAAGTAAAGTAAGTAAAATACTCTTGGAAAACATTCAGTGACAGAATAACACCTCCAATCAGCCAACTTAAACATCAAACCCCATGTTCCTATCCCCTCACCCTTTAAAAAAATATCTTCAGAACTCTACAGCTATGTCAGACCAACATTGGATCTCCACCATAATATATCAATCCTTGGAGCCTATTTTGCATGGAGCACCAGTTAAGATGTTGGAAACTAATTTGGGAATGCTATTTAGCTGTTTTAAAGATTTTGTAATCAGAATGTGTGATATGCACATTGAAACAAACTTGAAATGACCTCTAATCAATACTGTTAACATAGTGCTTTTCTTATTAGAAACATGCTAATGCCAAATATACCCTTATTCTATAACAAGAAGAAAAACAACATAATACTATAATGTGCTGCCGATTATAGATGAAACAACTCGCATGTTGTAAATAAGGAAGCATGGCAATCACAGAGACAAAATATACAATATTAATCTGCATTCACGATTATTTGTTCTTCCCATTGAAACAAAATTAAAGGATTTACATAAACATTATGATAAATATTTTAACCAATGTTGTACACAAACATAACTGCCTCATTGCAAACAATCTTCATCCAATATTATACACCAAAAAAAAAAAAAAAAACAAGGAAAACAAAATAGATCTTCAAGGAAATTTACGATGCAACCTTCTTTGGGAAAACAAGAAAAAGTTTGGATCGTTTATCCAAAAAAACAAGGGCAAAGAGGAGCTAACCTGTAGGAGCTGGTTCAATATAAGTGGCCCCACAAATTGGGAAGCATCATTGCCAATCTATGAGTTTGAAAAAATAGGAACATATATGTCAGATATGTAAAGCTTCTTGAACAAAAACCCACAATAACATATATCCTCAAGTGCCAGCACATATTACATAAGTTTGCTAAAAGACAAAATAAGTCATGTCTTAGGAAATCAATGTATAAAAAATTATCATACAACTTTCTTTTCAAGATAGAATGAACTGGAAAAAGAATAGCAATTTCAAGGTATTATAAGTTTAATTTAGATACACTGTTTATTTTATGAAAAAATTAAATATATTGAACTTAACAGTTTGGACTTTGGACCACATGTATGTGATCTAAACATAGACATGCAATACATATACACAATGCACAAACAAATATATACACATGAATATATAAAGGCGAGACAAAGAAGAAGATGCTCAAAAACACTAGTTTCTAGAATTGGATAGTTTAAAATCAACTGTCATCAACTAGTCCTAAATCACTTTTCAATGTTCATAATATCATGTCGATATTGATACCGGCTTCTAATTTAACAGCCATAAAAAAATCTAAACTTAATTTTGGAAAGATGGGCACATTACCTTCCAAAAGCCTCCCCACCAAAATCTACAAAAAGCAAAGAGAAACATCAATCATATGCATGTACATATGTGTAATCATAAAGAAGCAATTTTCAGACGTGAAAAAATCACTTAATATAACAACCAAAAATATAGCATCCCTACAGCATTTGATTTTACCATCTTTTACATCTCAAAATAATTTAACTCAATCATATATTATTGCAAAAATCAAACCCATAACTGAATCAAGTCATCAACACATTCACTGGTTAAGGGATCGCAAATCAACAACAAAACTTTAACACAAGTCAACTCAACCTACACTAAAGATGATGATCATTTTTTCTTTGTCCACCCTTATAGTTTGCACAGGACAAGTCAAATACATCTTGGTTAATCAACTGCAAAACAAAGCAGTTCTTTAACAATGAACACTCAGATAAGCTAAAATTTCACTAAATTAATCTCAAACATTTAAAAAGGTAGAATGATTCCTTAATAACGCATGCTTATGTTCATTGAAATATGCTTAATATTAAGCATGGAAGAGATGAAAGAAACACAAGACATGGATAGTTGCAAAAGAACCACCCAACATGAGTAAGTTTGAGCTCATATAATAATAACAATTTTTATTGTTCAATAAAACGCCTAATCTACTCATTTATCCTCAACTTTGCATGAATTCTCAATTTTATCAAATTTCAGAATTTATCTCAATTGTGTCCTAAAACTTTAACATTAGTTACAATTGTCTTCTATCTTGAGCAAGCCTAAGCCTGTGCATACATGGCATTGATTTGCCAACAAGAAAAGTACCCACAATATAAACAAAACAGCACCATATTAATTAAAAGAAAGAAATGTTTTGCAACCAAATCCCCATGCAACAACTTCTAAGCTACACCGTTTAACTTAAGCTTCACTCCCAACACTTGTTACAATTACATTGAGCAAGCAAGAACAATAGGAGGTAGGTAAGTGTTTTAAGAGAGAATTTAAAAATCCATTGATGATTCTTTGACAAAAGAGTGACCTACCCAACAACCGAGAGGCATTACATCTACACTACCAATTTTAGTGGGGTTCAGTGTTGTTAGAATCGTACAATTCACAGTATGAATCATATGATTCGCATCGAATCTGAGAGAAATCAATGCGAATCTTAAGGATGAATCAGAGAGCACCCTGAATCGGAAGAGAGTCGCAACAAATCAACGATTCACGTAAAGTATAAAGAAAAAAAAGAACTAAATAACGCGTGCAAACCTATTCCTAATAGGAGTAGGAGATTAAACTTCACATATATTAGAAAATTAAATGATGCAGAGGCAGAAAGATAGAAACAACAGTACCTGGTTGGCTTGATTCACAAGAACAAGAAAAAGAAAAGACTTTGGGAGGGAAGAGAACAACTTTGTTTTCAGAAGAACAAGATGATGTGGTTATATTAGAAGAAGAAGAAGATGATGATGAAGGGCTTGAAATTGGAAATGATAAAGATTAACGAATGAATATGATACTAGTTTGTTTTATATTTTTAAATTCTAATTTAATAATTTGATATTTTGAACTTAGGAACAACAAAAAATTGTTAGGTCTATTTAGTATATGATTGATATTGGAATTTTCAATTGAATATTTAATATCTTTTGATAAAATTATCTGAAATTAGAATTTTAACTGATTCTCAAAAGGTTATGGCGAATCTTATGATTCAATTCGATTCTCGATTCTCAATTCAAAAAATGAGGCTTCTAATTCACGATTCGATTCTCGATTTGATAACACTGGTGGGGTTTTAGAGAAATTTGTTGTCCATAGGAAAAAAAAAATTGAAGTTTTTTAAAACATATGAAAAGGTAGAGCAGAAATGAGAAAGAGGTTTTAAGTTATATTTCAAGTCTTAACTTTAACTTTTGTACTTGTAGCAATAGGAAGTTGTACTCATCACAATTGGTTTTACATTATTTTAAGCTTTAAGTGTGCAAATTTGGAAACTTTAACCTTATTTTATTAGGCATTTTTTAATGGGATAGGGTTCCTGATTTCTTTTTTGTTTTTTGTTGTATTAAATTACTATATATTGATTAAATTAATGATATGCAACTATGCAACCATACTGTATTGTTGGTTTTTTCTGGTTTTTTTTATTAATTTGCTAGAAATCTGTGTATCACTCTCTCTAGTGACACCTATGCAATCTCATTTTCATAGATATAGGATATTTGTTGAACCATGGCATAGAGGTACTTTCTTGAGTAAGCTTGTCATATATGACGAGGGTCTGAATATAAAGTTAATGAACGTTAAGGAGGTTACTTACAAAGGTATGATTAGCAAGAAGAAAGGTTTAGGGTATAGATATATAGTTAATGTTGCATATGGGAGGCCTCAAGCTAGTCTGCAGAAGGGTTGAAGTATGTGTCAACTGATGAAGAGTTCTTTAAGATGTCAGAAGCCATAGCAATCCAGGAAATTGTATGAAAAATAAATGCAACAAACCCCCATTTGCAAAGCGAAGAACAATTGCACAATGTGGATTTACAATCAGGTGAATATCATATGACTTTATGATAATGCAAACAAGGAGCATGCTAGTGAGTAGGGATGACTGTGGTTAGGTAAGTGTATATCAAGAGTAAGATAAGATGATCGTGACACCAAATCTAGAGATGGACATGACCAAACTGTAAGAGTGACAAGGAAAAAGAGGTTGAACACATAAAGCCAAAAATGTGACCACTAAGTGTTGAAGCTTCCAGCAAGCACAAGGTTTGGTAATGGAAATCAATTCAAGGTTGCAGTAGGAAAGTATGGGATCACTCAACATTATGATGTGAGATGGATAAGGACATGTGACATAAGAATGGAGGCAAAGTGTCAAATGCGATACAAACGGAAAGTTTATGCCTCTAGATGAAAGAATGAGATAACTTTTGTTATTAAGTTGTTGGAGTATGACAAACAAGCAACAACAAGATGGCTAGGAGACCCATGTCTAGGATTACTACTAAGTGCAGCAAATGGAGAACAGTTAACAGAAAGATATACCATATCTATCAATAGCACTAGCTGTTATAGAGCTAGGGATAAAGTATTTGAGAAGTTAAAGGGGGACTTTAGAATCTCATTACGCAAGGCTTAGATCATATGTACTTGAGCTATAGAGAGTTGTTCCAGAAAGCACATTTGTTTTGAATGCTGATAAGAAGATAATATTGGTAATTTATCAATCTTTAATTGGTAGTATATGGAGTTTAGTGGCTCAAGGAGGGGGTTTATTGAAGATTGCAAACCTCTAGTTAGTACTAGTAGCTTTTCTCAAGAACTTGTCAGTTGAGAACTCTTAAGTGCAATTGCTAAAGATGGTAGAGATGGAAACAATCAAATATTTCTTGTTGCTTGAGCAGTAGTTAGGGCAAAGAAGTTTTACCTTTGACCTTATGATGTTATTGTCAAAAATCTTGTTCTCAAATTAATATTCATCTCCTGTCTGTAATATTACAGTATTAAATTTGAATATTATTTATTTCACATTTAGGTGATTTTCTCCACATCCACTAGGTTAGTTTTCTCCAATTCTATCTCCTCTCTTTCAAAATCATAAAATAAAATATTAACCATGACAACTATTAACACCAAAAAGACTTATATAACTAAATTGTGGTGATAAAAAATTAAAAAGATAAAAAAAGACAAGTTACTTTTACCTTGCTCCAAGGCTACTATTTAGTGCTCTCAAAAGCCATGGTCTAGGCCTTTGTGATTCTTCAACCCAACATTTTTGGAACCTACGGATAAGTTGGCAAAACACATCAAGCAACTTTTGGTACGAAAGAAGCATGTTAGAAACAATTGAGGAAAACAACAATGAACCTATTATTCAGTGTTTCAGTTCGATCCCATGTGTCTAATTTCCATATATCCTTCTCAGTGAGAGGCCTTTTGTAACCTAGCTTCATTATAGGATTCATCCATGTGAAAACAATTCCTAGCAAAAGAAAAATGAATCATAGCACAATTAGGATGCTGAACAACTTTACAAATGGCTACATTCTAAAGAAAATAAAGAAGTTACTCCACATCATGTCATATGGCCAAGCTGAGTTGTAAAATGATCAATGAAATGATCTTAGCGACTTCATCGATATCCATTTTCGAACAAATTAAGCCAATTATAACAGCTATTGGAGACCCATAATACATCAAAATAAAGTGTACTTAAGTATTAGCTTGGATGTATAGCATTTAGAAGAGCATGTAAACTTAATAAAAAGGTAAAAACTGATAGCGAACATACTATAAAAGTTTATTTGTTATTGGTAGACCAACCATTGCGAGTTGACATGATTTTTTTTTTTTTTTGTCATTTTAATGATGACTTCTGAAGCAAAAGCTGAACAGAGTTACAGATAAAAGGTAGAGAGAATAATAAAGTAAAATTGCAATTCTGTTTCTAACACTAAGAACATTTATAATGAAGGTATACTAAATCGAAGAGAAACACATGTATATACAGCTATAACAAACTAATTAATGCTGGAACGAAGTAATCAAAAATGAAATAGTTTATTCTAATTAACATTATTTACATTTAAGAATAATGATTAATAAACCATTTAGCATGCAATACCATTTTCAAGTTTCTAGCTATAAGATATTAAGGACGTATACATTAGAGTATACATACTGGAAAATACGTTGACATGCCGCTCAGGACATATGTACTCTCCTCCAGGAAGTTCTTGATATTCAGCATCATCAACATATTCATTCCGCATGGGAGTGTAACCAGGGTAAGGATCCAAGTTGGGAACATACACAAGCAAAAGCATTCCAAACAAAACCTAAACCAAAAACAATAATTATATCAGGACTACATTACCATGCTTTTAATGTGACTAAGATGAGAGCCAAAAGGTTAAACTTCCTATTCTAAATAGAGTACAGAGGCATTATTTAGTTATCTCTGGCCAGTAGAATCAATATAAATTGCACAATAGCCCCGGTGATCCTAATCATGTTTTGCCTTTCATTCAATATTATGAAGTGCTGCCAATAAGCCCAAACCAAAGCATAAGTAATCAGCCAAATTAAATAGAGGAATATAGTGTTGATCTAGAGGCTCTACAAGTTCTTCCAATTTTGGCATCCAATCATGCTTCCTACCAAAACTGGCTAGAATAACTTCCAACAAAGAAAATTGGATAACTTTGTAACTGGAGAACAGCCAACGATAAATACTATTGAGAAGATAAATTTTCCAAATAGTAGAACCCAGCTGGACAGAATGCCATATAGCATGCCTGGCTAGTGGGGCCTCGGGTTATTTAACGAGCCTAAGCTGTTGCTGTCTGGTGTCCCAGGAGTGTCACATTTCCACACAACTACAATTAGCCAACCTAAGAAAGCAAGTACCAGCCTAACTCACAAGATTAACTGACCATTACATAAAAGGAAAACACAAGCAATGTGAAAGCAGGGAAATTAACCTGTAAGGGTGAAAAGGTAAATGGAGCAACAAACCTGAACAAAGACCTCGCTGATATATAGATACAGCACGGAACTGCACAAACAATACACAACCATGAGTCTGCCATTGTCTAATAAATGTGTTCAAAGCTCAACTCAAGGAAATCTATGAATTCATGTCATGTTTACCCCAAGATATACAAGTTATTCGTAACTACGAAATACAAACCTATTGTAGAACTCTTTCACTGTGAGAACAAGATTAAACATCACTGCATCTCCCACCAAAGTATAAAGGACCCCAAATCTAACAAACCACCGTAACTCACGGATGTAGATTTTGGTTTCCACACAAGTCATGACAAGTACAGCGCACCAAGCAAGAGCTTCTACAATCAAGGAAACAATCTGCCAAAAAAATCACTATTAGTTAAATAGGCCAGGTAGAAGACTGAAGACCTCATGGGTAAGTTCTAAAAGACTAAAACTATGAAGTTTTACATGAGAAGGAACAAATACAATAAGTATAGCAAAATAGGCTGCTCAAAAGATGACATAATATAAATTGGCATTCTCAAAATTCCATCCCCTAAAAAGATGCATATTATTTTATCCCAAAACAAAATTCAAACATCTGGTTATCCCTAAACAGGAATGAGTTATTGTTGTACATACATCTGATTTGCACATTCATGAGAAATATCTGACATATTAGAGAGAGGTACATACGAAATAATTAAGCTCCTCATACAGAAATGTAAAACAGAACAAAAATAGAACAATAATGAAAACGAAAGAAACCCACCTCATATGGAGCAAGAACCCTCTGTCCATCTATATTCAGAACTGAAATTCCCATTATCAATCTGAACAAAGGCTCTGCAGTAGAATATGCAGCTAGTAGCCCCAAGAAATAGTTATACCAATTAGACCTCAAACAGAATCGCTGGACCTTGAAATCTTTCTTAATGAGCCATATTCTATAGAAGCAGAGAGCCAAGAGAACCAAATGAGAGATGACCACCACCAGAGAGTCTACAGCACAAGGAGTATAAGCACCGAAGGCATTTTCCACAGCCCTTGTCCACAGCCCATTTGCCACTGGCCGACAATACCAAACCAGCGGCTCAAAGGCCATTTTCCTATCACTTATTGACCACTATTCTTCACTAACTAGATGCATAATCCGCGGAGAAATCTGCAATAAAACACCACCACCACAGATTAGCATTATCTCTTCCTTTTCTTTACTTGAACAAAGCACGAAGTATGTTCACAAATATAAATGGTGTTTCTACTTCCATATTTCTTCTGTTCGGTTAACCAGAAATTGCTTGCAGGGAAAGTTTCAGGAGGCAAATGAAGGAGCTCAAAAACTCCAATGATTAATTTTGAAAAAAATAAAAACTTTTACGTTAGAGAAAAATTTTTGGCCATTGATAAATCAAAAATTTTCACAGTAACCAGAGAATCCATAACCTGTAGCTTAATTACATTAATAAAAAAATACAAACTTCAATAATAGAAAAATAAAAATGTAGCTAAAATTCACAGCATTAATAACAATACCATTTTTTCCTCAAAATAAAAAATACCATTAAACACAACCAAAAAATAATAATTTATTTAAAAAAAGAAAAAAAAAAAAAAGAAGCTTACATATAATACTCCTTGTTCTATGAAAAAAGACGTGAACTTTCAATAAACAAACCAAAAGAGAAAAAAAAACAAATCTTGAAAAACAGAAAAGGAAAAGGGAAAAACTCATAAAAGCGAAGAGAAAAGGTTAAATGATGTCTGGAGCTAAGAAAGTGAAAGAGAGAAGTGTTAAGAGAAGGACTGGAAGAATCTGCTTCTGCCTTTTCATTACCTGTTTGTTCGGTTTTAGAGCTGTTAATGTGATTATGAGAATCAAAAACTAAAGAAAAGGAAAGCAAGCTTATTGGAGAGGAGAAATCGGAGAAAACAACCAAACAACAAAATTTCTTGTTAAGAGAGAGAGAGAGATACAGAAAGAGAAAGAAGCCAAACAGAACACGAGTTTAAGAGACAGAGCAAAAGCCAACACATGACTGTTTGTTTTTTTTATATATGTGAATATTATTGGGATCAAAAACCAAATTATAAATATTTAAAATATACTTTATAAAAAAAATATTTTAAAATGTACCTTCAAACAAAATATTTTAAAATATTTATGCTTTATTATTATTTTTATCTCACCATGGTATTTTAATTTAATTAACTAATGATGTGCTAGATTACATATAAAATTTAATTTAATTATACGAGATAGCTAACATTTTTTTATTACTAATGTATCTCTTTCCTTCTAATATAAATTATTGACTTTCATCACAATAAAATTAATTACACTTAAATATAGAACATTGATACAATACGGTAGTGGTCCAATATTTATATAAATGAATTTGACATTTTGGCAATGTAAATAAATAATATTTTGAGCAATGAATGTTGATTAGAGTTGAGCGGTAAAATATATACTTAAGTTTGTTATAATATCTTATAATCAAATTTAAAAGTTTATAAAACAATTTCATATTATAAAATTTTAAAAATAATAAAATTTAAGAGTTTATAAAATAATTTCATATTAAAAAATTTTAAAATTTTATTATAATGCAATAAAATTAGTTATTTTACTAATAATTAAAAATAAAAATAAAAATCACGATTGTGACTCCATTAACTATGCTGATCGAACATTTGAAAAGAGTGGTTGGATTCTATTCGTCCTAAATGCACCTGGGACTAAATCGGAGGAAAAGCGTTTCATACTCTCTTTTCAAACTCCAAATGATAATAGTCAAGAAACTAAAACTTCGGTTGACCTTCGCCAAACTTTGCTAATTTGGAAAAAGAGAAAATAGGTGTTTCCTGGTAGATCAGTAAGGGTAATATTGTCCTTTCACTTGTAAATGGTAGGTAGTTGATCGGCCATTCGGTGGCGCGCTGCTGGCTGCGAAGGATATGATTGTGTTGTTATTTTCTTTTGATTTGGAAAAGTTGTTTAATCATTTGCTTTAATTCTACACGTTATTCCCTCAAAAAAATATTAAAATGTTTTTTGACTTAATAAAGTAAAATTCGTGTATAAGAAAATATTACTAGATTCATCAATAGTAAAAAAAATTTAAAACTTTAGTATATTCAAATTAAACTTTGTAGAAAATGAAAACTATGTTAGGCAGGGATTGAGCGTTGAATAAACTTTAATAATATAGCCCAGATCTATTGTTCATAGAATTTGTTTGACAAGAATATACAACAATCGGAAGCGTACCTTGATCCATAACGGTAGATCTATATTATGGGTTACCTTGTTGGGACAATTCGATTCTCACCGTAACAACAGATCTACGTTCTTCACTCTGGCATTTTGTCCGTAAGTGCTCTCTTAATGGTTAGAGAATAATCAACAGCTGCGAGAGTTTCTTTTATGAGCTCACTCAAACAAACTATTTCCGTATGTGTTTGAGGGAGCCGTCATAACGGTAGAGTCTATATTATGGGTTACCTTGTTGGGACAATTCGATCTCACCGGTAACAACAGCATCTATCGTTCTTCACTCCTGGCATTTTGTCCGTAAGCTGCTCCTCGTTAATGGTTAGAGAATAATCAAAGCTCGCGAAGTGTTCTTTTATCGTGCTCACTGTCAAAAAAGCTATTTCCTGTATGTGTTGAGGGAGCCGTCCACCACTCTTTGTTTTCTGTGTTAACCCCTGAATCTGATGATTCCTTATCTTTACTAAGACAGCAGACAGAATGTATTCAAACCCTAATCGACACTCTTATCCATTTAAGCCCATACCACATCTGTGGCCACCTAACTTAGAACCAGCCCGTATTAAAACCCTAACTGACTCTTATCCATTAAGCCCAATAACCATCATCTTGGGCCACCTAATTAGAACCAGCCCTTTAATCACATGGGCCACATACATATTATTAAATAATCTAACATTGAGATGGTAATTTAACTGAATAGTTTTCTCAATTTATGATTATCTTACCCATCCTCAAAAATCATTAATTGTAGGATTTCATCTGAAAATGGGTGGAATTGTAAGCTAGTGGAATTAATTCATGTTTTGTCAAACTTTCACAAATTACCATTCCACGTTTGAAATTTTGAATTTCTCTCATTTGCGAAAGTCTTAAACAATTTCAATCAAATGCGCGCAAATATGACGAGAATGTGAAGCAAAATTTTTTATACTCTCACTATCTTTTTTTTTTTTTGTTTGTTTTTTGAGAATAAAATAGGAATTTATTCAGAAGAAGAATCCAACAAAAGAACAGGAAGGATAGATGCAGGAACCTTCTCAAGTCAAATCCTAGTAGACAACACATTAGAAGCGAGTTTACTGGGAGCACGAGCAACTCTATTGAGTTCTTGTTTAGCATGATTATAAGAAAAAGAGTGGAACATCCCAATAATGGAATCAATTGCCATATTCCGTGTTTGGAAACACCTTCAGCTGCGAGAATTGGATCATGGTTAATGAATCGGACTCAAGATAACTTATGTAAAACCCAGCTCCAACACCATCGTTAACCCAAAAAGAGCAGCTTCTGCCTCAGCGTGATCAAGTTGAGATGGAGAGCTTGTGTGAGTAAAGTCTAAACTAAGAACCTCGTCATTCGCATCTCTGACAATAAAACCCAGGCCACTGCATCAGTGTTGAGCTTCACCCAACATGGGGGAGGAGGAGTCCATTTAGGAGGTGGAACTGCTTCCCTCGCCGAAACTATGCTCGGAGGATGCACGTTAGCAGCTTGAAACTCCAAAAGCATCTCCAAACTCGTCTAAACAATATCCAACTCATTCATAAAACGGTCCTGAAACTTCTGAGAATTTTGAGACTTCCAAATTGCCCAAGCAGTTGTCACAAAAATCTCCAACTGATCATTTTAAAACTCAACACACATCTGTCGAACCCAATCCAAGGACGACTCAGCTGTAAAAGCACATATGTCCAAACGAAGAGGGCATAGTTTACATAAATGTTGAGCCTTCCCACACTCTTTCAAGTAATGAATAATAGCCTCCACTGCCCCCCCACACACCCCACATATCAAATCACAATGGATACCCCTGTGAGAGAGGAAGCTAAGAACCGGTAACTGACCTTTCATTGCTCGGAACAAAAAATGTTTACACTTCATAAGCACCTGCAAGTTCCAAACCTCTCGCTAGAAACTGGTAGGCTGTGGAGAAAAGGGTGACGCCAATTAAGAGGTTTTAAGAGCATTAAAAGCAAGCTAGTAACCACTTTTAAATGTGTAACTATCCAATCTCGTGCTATGCCAGATAGAGAGTCAGAGAGACGTCTAGGGTTGATTGGGATCACCTTAATGCATTCTACCTCCTGAGGATTGAAAACAGAGTCAATAAGGGCCTCATTCCAGCTGAAGCTATTTGCAACAAATAGGTCCCTAACTCTCACATCTTCATCCAGAGTATTCATGGGAGAGTGCATAAGAAAATCTCGATTACTCGATATCCACCTACACTTCCATACGAGAATCGAACCCCCATCCCCAATAAGCCACCGAGAGCCAAATTCAACTATCGATCTTACTACCAGCAGACTCTGCCATACATAGCTCTACTGAAAAGCCTGCTTGAGCCTTATAAATGGAGGACTGAGGATAGTACCTTGCTTTTAAACACCGTGTTAGTAAAGAACCCGAAGTCTTAAGCAGTCGCCAGACCTGTTTAGAAATTAAAGTAAGGTTATACACATGAATATCATGAAAACCCAATCCATCTCTCATTTTGGAATAACATAAATATTCTCGCGCACACCGATGCATCTTCCTTCCATTTGTTTTAGCCCCACCAAAAGCTCACAATAGCAAATTCAATTTTATGACAAACCTCTATAGGTATATGCATTCACAAGCTTTTCAAATCAAGAGTAATAGAAAGAGGGGAATAATATTTCTTGCATCATAAATAATTAATTTTTTTTATCTTAATAAAGTTTCAACAAATTCGCCTACACATTATCTCGATATATGTTTGATTAATTTGAGAAATAGGATACAACTAATTTATTTTTACTAAAGAGGAATCCAAATAGAGTACAACTAATTCACAATTAGTATTGCTGTTTTTTTTTTTTTTTTCATTCTATACAACTTATTCAGAATATGAGTACAAAATTTTCATTAGTGTTTAGATAAATTATAAAAGTACACTAAGTAATTTGGAGTTAACGAAATTCGTACACATATTTACAATGTGTAATATCAACATAAAAGCGTCTTTTAAAACTATAGTGCAACCATCCAATTGTGTGTCTGTATTTTGAATAACTACACAAATTATCGCTTATATTTGTCCCCACATCCATAAAGTCGAGCACACTATTAAAAATACACATTGAAAATTAGTCATCTAATCAGACTTTATAAACTTAAGTGCATTAAATGTCTTTTTTTTTTTGTCTGCCACTTTCCTCGTTTAGAGTGAAATCTTCATGCAGATTACGTAGCTAATATGAGGACATTTTGGACTTTTTCATTTGGCATCCTTCCCAAAATTTTCATTTTGAGTCAAGTTCTTTATATAAAAGAAATGCGTTAATTAGAAAGTTTCTCTATATAAAGAGAACAGAGGGAGTATAATCATAGAAAATGACTTTTGCTCTTCGCGTTTTAATGGCTACTAGATTTAGATGATGCTTATTTAGGAGTAAGTAGACTAGAGAAGTGTAATTTTTTGGGAAGTACAAAAATTATTTGTGTTTAGTTGGGTTATCAATTTTATTTTTCAAAAAGTGGCTCATCCAACTTCTCTTGCAAAGTAACTTCCTCATAGATAACTAGAGAAGTTGCACTTCCCTGATTAAATGCAGTGAATTACTGATTTGTCTTACTACTTAAATACACTTAGGGCATGTTTGGTATGATTTAATCAACTATGTAATGGAATTAGAATTACATTACATGATTGATTACATTGTTTGGTTAGACTTTCTTTAACAATGTAATGCAATTGAGATTACATTTGTAATCTTCATTTC